TTTGCACCAGGGTTTAAATTAAATACCTGGTCAGTTTCCATTCTCCTGAATATAATGCTGATCATCTGAGTCAACATTGCCTTTGAGGTAGCTTGATTTATGGGACTTTTACTGTAGATTTAAGAAAATAATTCAGCTTTTTCTATTTCAAGTTGACAATAAGAGATCAAATGATGTCAAAATGCAAACTACCTATGGAGAGCAATGTTGTAGCAAACTCTAATTACTCCTAACAAAGGCTCCCCGTGTACTGCATTTTAAGCCAAGAATAAGTCAAGTTCAGAAAACTGAAGACTGTAATAAAGGAATTGCAGATAAAGAAGAAAAGCTCACAAGTCATTGGTACACAAGTATTGAAAACTACTCAAGAAAATATACAACAAACTCATTATTCGTGCATGCACATGAGCATTTGAACACTGGCGTACCCTTTCAATCCAGCAGTCCAGAAGGGTGGTGAAACAGACAATAACACGTATAATAGTGGCCTTGTCTTTGAAGACATAATTGATGAACGTATGATTATCCACTACACCAAGAACCATGAATCAAGCAAACACCCTTTCTTGGGGTTATAATACTTCCACAAAACCCTAATGGCCTTGTGCAGTAGTCAAATTATTGTAGAAGACCCTCATGAAGCACCCACCACCTCGCATCTCTAGAATAATCTAACCTAGCATGTCCCACCTCAATAAACAAAGTTTCTCAATATCAGTTTCCCTCCTATTGAGATATTCCTGAAGTGAATGCACCACCCATCTGTCTCTTATTCTCTGCATTTCTTGATTGCTTTAGAGATGCTCTTGTCCAGAGGGTACAGTCTAGGGAAAGAAGAAAATAGAGGCTCCATTTCCCACCCATTTGTCCTCCCAAAACCTCGTCAAGGCTTCATTACCCAATTCGAATTTATATCAAGTCTTCATGAGGGCATTGTACTTAGCAATGGCCATACAGAGGCTCTTTGAACTACTGTGGTAAATCTAAGGTCAACCAGCATAGGGATTTTTATTGTATTTGCTTGCAGAGGCAATAAAAACTCAGTGACAAGCCACCATGTGGATGTCATATTTGATTTAAGTCAATATGGTTAGACCCCCAACATCATGTTCCAAGATAAAGTTTAACAATAAGTGTTATTTAATACCTCTACGTGGGTGTCGGTTTCGAAGGCTTTTTGTAATTATTAGTTAGGTGTTATTCTTAGTTCTTATTCTTTTGGATTGGAGCCTTTCTTATAGGCTGGTCCCCTTTTGTCAGGTTTGTTTCTTATATGCCTCTGGTATATTCTTTCATTTTATCCGATGAAAGCTTGATTTCTTATCAAAAACGATAATAATAATAAAGATTACCAATAGATTACCTTTAAAGGACTTTTGAGCAGAGTACAATACACATGCTCTAATTAGTTTTTTTTTTTTTTACGAAACCACGCTTTCATTGAGGCAAATGAAAAGAATAACAAGAACAGAGGCATACAAAAAAACGGGCCTACAAGAGGACCCCCGCTAAAGAAAATGACTCCAATCCAAAAAAATAACACCTAGCTGATAATTACAAAAGGCCTTAGAGACCGAACCATGCTCTAATTAGTTAAAGGGTTCAATAAGAAACTGCCTAAAACATCTAGCATTTCTAGCCCATAGGTCAACACTTAAGTCCATGGACACAAATCACGATCATCTATCTTTAAAAAAAAAAATCCACTTGTTGTAGCTCCTAAAGAAAATGTTGTCATATAATATATCATACACTACACTTAAAATACTACATTAATATGTTCTGCTGATTTTGTAGCAATGATGCAAAAGTACATTTTACAAGAGTCCCAAGAAGTCGGCTTTATAATAACTTAAATGCAGCATCAGAGGCTTTAGTCAAGGAGTCTTCTGATGGAAAATTTTTTAATTGGAAGAGAACCTCATAATTAAAACCCAGATGAAGTTGCGTAAAACTCCATTCATCCACGGTCCACTTTTCAAAACATGATTAAGCAACGACCATAGACACCTATTTATAACCATGTACCTCTGAACTTTGCAGATGCGACCGCAGTAAGAAGAACCTTCAACACTTGCAAAATTGTACTGCACAATATCCCATGCAAATAGTTGGTCATTTGAGAGCAGAAGAGAAGTGTGAAAATGTTAACAGTATGCAATGACACATACCTATCAGACGATGAATTGTCAACACAACCACAAATCATGTTCAAAATGTCAGTGAAAATGGGGACATTTTTACCACCTTCTAAACCAGGATCACCTTCCAGATGATCGTAAGCAATGAGTTTCTGTCAATTATACAATGAGAGATCTCAAGATAACATATACCAAATCTCATCGAAGATTGCAAAAAGATGTTACTTTTTATAAGCAATCATAAATTAAAGATTAAAGTTTCATAGACAAATAAAAATAACGTACATGGAGACAGTCCAAAGAAAGTTCTATGACTTTCAAGTTCTTTGTGTCAAATGCAAGGCGAAGTGGATTCAAAACAATCTCTGCATCAGCTCCTTCCAAGACATGACCAGCATTTGCTAACACAACCGATATAGGTTCTTGCGGAGCAGCTTTCCTGCCAACATTCTCAGCCTCCTCCGCAGTTTCTTCAACTGTCCGTGCTTCGTCTACTTCCCCCCCAGTTTCACTATAGCCAACAATGACTTGAAAAGTTACTAATCCATCAAAGCCTTTCATTTTTCAGGGGAACAATAACAGACTTTAAACCCTCGATGAAACCAATTAATAAATAATGGAAACAAAAACAAAAAATTAAGGGACATAAATCTAGTTTTCATATCATTTTTGTGATTCACAAATACTTGGAATGTTGTAATGAAAACTACTGGCAAAATTACGGGTGGGGCAATGAGATTTGCAGAGAAAAACCTGGTATCTCCAGCTGATGTTGCCGGTTGACTTGTCTCGGCAGGTGTAGAATGCTGAGTCTGATTGGCCTCTTTCGTACTATCTGAAAGGCGGTGGAGGGAATACAACAATAAGACAACTATGCAAAAGCGCCAGGAGAAAGCATATATTCCCGGAGCAGATAAACCCTACCGCTCTCCATTCTAAGTTTATTCATGAAAATCATACACATGCACGTAATACCAAATAAAATTCTTAAACTCCCATAATTCCAGATGCACTAAAAGATGCGAAACTTCTGTTAAATACCTAAGCTCCAACTGATAAATTAATGGTGAAACAATGGAAACAGTACAATTAACAGTCCGAGACACATTTCCAGGCAGAAGAGAGACGGTTTTTCAGAATATTTTCAAAGATTGAAAGGAAATAACAGACAGATCCGTAATGCAATCTTGAAGAATCCAGAAAATGATACCTAGATACGCCTGGATAGCTTTCTGAAGGGCCGGGTACTTCTTGCCGCTAGAACATTCTTTAAGCATGGACTCGAAAGCCCGACCAACAAAACCACCAGCAGCCATAGCTATTACCAATTACTTTCTCTTCCAATGGAAGTGATCTCAGTCAGGTCCGATTCAGGCCGCGCCAATTGAATCTATCGGGATGATTCCCACTTCTGCGAGTTACAGATCCAATACATCATAATTTCCCCGAACGAATTTGAAAAAGAAAAAGAAAACGACAGTGAAGAGATCTTGGAGCTAACAAATTCATTCAAGCAGACCATTCAAGAAATAGTACGAGACGAGTAAAGGAGAGGAGTGTATAGATCTATACAGCAAGTTTCAGGATCTCGAACCTGACTCCTCGAACGAGCGAACAGAGCTTTAGCTGCAACGCCAGTTTCTTTTTTCTTTTTTTTCTTTTGCACAACGGCAATTTCTCTTCTTCTTCTTTTTTCCGCAGTTGACGAGTCGGCCAAGCCAGCACTCCTAATTACGTTAAACCATTCTTTTATTTTTACTTGTAACGTAATATTCCCAGAAATATATACAAACGAAGGTTTCAAATATCAATGTTTTTTTTAACTCGTTTCAAATATCAATGTTAATCTCCTAAAAAAGAAATATATATATATCCATGTTAATAGAAATACCGATGTCTCGATTTCATATAAATATTGATAAAAATATTGATGATGATAACAATTTATAGATGTTATAAAAATACAAAATTCATAGAAAATATTTAACTTGATAAATTAGTCTTTCAACCTTTCTAAAAAAGTTAAAAATGATTATTTTCATATTTTGTCGATTATTTTGTAATACTGTAGAAATGTTGATTAAATTTACAGTCGGAAATAAGTGTCTTAACTGAATTAGGTTCAGATTGGCATAGTTAATTATTTTGAAATTTTTAGAATAATAGATACGTATATCAATCCAACTCAAATATAAAGGGTATAATCTCCGTTAAAAAAGGAAAAAAAATCCATAATTCTCAAATACAAATAGAATGCATTACATACGTATGTTGAGTAAATACATCAATCTCGCTGACATGAACTAGTTGAATAAATACATCAATGTCGTTGATATGGACTTAGCTCATAGATAATTTGTACCAATCTATAAAGGTCTTTGAATTTTCCACCATCTCGTGTGAATTAAAAGAAAATAAAAAATAAATAACTACATCAATCTCCAAGACAGATCCAATGATATATTCAATTGGCCTGGCTTATGCAACTATTAATTCACAATGTATTGGCCGAAAATGTGTTAATTTATTGATGTATCTCTTAATTTTTTTTTTTTTTGTTTTTTTGAATTGCTCGATCCTACAAAATGGATAGGTATGTACATGAGCACAGTATGAATAGATCAACAATAATTACTTTCCTAAAAACCAAATTGTTTATTTACCAAATATGATCATAGTAAGGGAAGTGATTTTGGGAAGTGATCTTGATAATAGCATCACTCTCGAACGCACCCTTAAATTCTTTTGCAGTTGAAGATTATCGACCATGATTTGATCAGTTCGAACAGATTCTCCACGAATAAACGTTCAAACCATACAATAAGGCTGAAAACAGGCATACTTGAAGGGAAAAGAAGATGATGAACAGCTATGAAAACAGAATATAAACATGGCTTCAAATGGTAAACTCAGAGTTCTGAGTGTTAATTCGTTCACAATCACATATATGTAAAGAACAAAGGAATATATAGACGGAACGGAATGAAACAGTCTCAACTTATCATTTATCAAGCCCCCTGGTGAGCGTTTTGAAAGGACAGAGCAGCAAGAGTGATGAGGGAAGCGTACACCGAGGCAGGTAGTTTTTGCACCAGTTTTCCAACACCTGGAACGCCTTCGGTACTCTTCTTTGTGACCACAGCGACTGTTGGTGCTACCACCAAAGTGAGGACTAATCCCTGGCTCACTGTTATGACGGTGTCAGATGTCAAAAGCAAGATGAACTTCATAAATTCTTCGCGGTCAATTTCTTGGTCCATGTTGAGATCGCTTTCCTGATAGCACAGAAATTTTATGCGTTTTATATACGAGTAGAAATATAGAACTGGAACAGAGGCAGTTAAAACAGTTTATGCTCCATTAAATTTTCGTTGGAAGTGTTTGAAAGACCTGGCAACAGGAAGAGCAGGAAGCTACAATTCAATAAAGCCACAAAAGCGAATATCGATGCCTCTTGACGAACATGATAAAAGAGGAATAGAGAAACAAAACAAGCACCACAGGCAAACTTGATAGCCACTCTTCTAGCACCAAGAGAAGAACATGAATTACTGAATTTAGGCCTCATATAATATAACTAGATAACAAGGTCCAGGCATCAATATGGAATGTCCAGCATTAACTTACCAAATCAAAGTTCAGTTTCAGAGTATCTTCCAGAAAATGGGGTAAGAAGTAGGAATTTCCAGTGATTGCAACTTCCAGGACCAGAGTTTAATGCAATACAATACCCCCAAATGCAAAAAGTAAAAATTTTCTTACATACATCCACCACCACCAGCCACAAGGAAACCGAGATGGTCGACAGAACTCAATAGCTAGCTATCGTAATAATTGTAGTTTAATCGATGACCACATGCTCAGGGTGATACATTAGTGCATAGAGAATTTAAAACAAGTAGGAAAGTAGACAAGTAGAGAGAGATAATTAGAACATATTGCACTTATGTTGTTTTGTTTTCACTATGATACAAGCATAGACATAATTACTAAAGGACCATTGTCCGCTGATTTTTTGTCCTACACAGTAATTTCTAAGTTTAAACAATATGCTATGAACTTTTGTATTGGATTTAATCTTTCTTGGATCATTGAAATTGTAACAAGCAAATAAAAAAATTAAATGGCAATGGTAAGCACATAATGCACTTCTAGCGAGTTTAAGTTTCCCAATCAACAACGGATGCCATACTCTTGCACTATTAAACATTTGTAATATTAGTGTATCAACAGAGTACCTTTATGAGTTCTCTGACACGTTCCTTCGAGGGCGGATCATGATGCGGGCCAGGCAACCGCTTGTTAATTTCACTGCATCACAATTCACAAGTACTTGTTCATGATTAAACCATGCCCACAAATGCCTTATCACCAAGAGCTTGAAATGTTAAAGAGATATCTCCAAGGATCAAAGTTTAAGCCCCAGCTTGAAAACTCAATAACTTACAACACAAGTTAGCTTATAAATTAGTGGGATGAGTTATAAGCATAATGTAAGGAGTCACGCCCACATTATAAATAAAATAAATAAACAGATTCTGCCCCATCAAAATTTTTTATACGTTTATGGAAGGTCAAGAGTAGTATAAACTTTTGCAAAAGGACCCAGGGTATTTTTTAAACAAAGGCAAAGTTCGAGGGTATTTTTTTCTGTAATTTAACCATAAATAAACAAACGAATAAGCTATACAAAAACTATGAGCAGGAAAATTTAAGAGGGCTTCTTACTTGTACACAAGTAACGTAGCAATATACAGATCTTCAAATGACAGGTTAACCTTATCTGAATGATTTTTAATCTTATTAAATATCTTGTCTGATATCTTCCTCATTTGGGCATCCCTCCATTGTTTGCCTGCAAGTGCAAGCACACACAGAACCAGACCCACAGAGATGGCACACATCAGCTAATTTACACCACCAAACAAACAAAATAGGAAAGAAAACCGATAGATTCATGTATTAAGTCTATGTCAATATCAAATAATCACCAATCCGAGGGAGAATTGTGGGTTAATCGACTTTCATTGACAAGATCCACCCTCTTCTTTTAGGAGAAACCAATATATCCTCATCTATGACTACGAATTCTTCATTTCGCTCGATCCGTTTATCAATTTATCGACGAATCCGAACAGAAATTTGAATTACGAATTCAAATAGAATGTTGCGGAAACCCAAGCTAGGTTAAGTTACCTCCAATTTTGTCCAAGATCTGTCCCATGATAGACGGCAGCGAGCGACGGTAACTGAAGATCACAGGCCCCGCAAAGCAGACTGTAAGTGCTCCGGGCAAAGGAAGATCGGGATATCCGCCGTAGCAGCAACGATAACGAAATTTGTCATTTGCAAAGATTTTGTAGTGGAAAAAGATCAAGTTCATGCGCTGTTCTACTTCTGCCACACATTTCCTTTTCTCGATGGACACTTGGAATAAAGCGACCTGCGGTTTCCCAATATGCAAGTTATACAGTCCAGTACCGTGCCCCAACTATGGAGAAAATAAAATAATCAAGCGGAGATTTTTTCATGATTACCAATTTACCCTCAATCAAAAGGAAAATCTCAAGTTTGCCCTGCCCATTCAGGTAGTTTCAAAATTGCCACTTGCCCACCCCATTTTGTAATATTTGATCAATCAAGGAATATTAATATTTCCTAGTATTTTGTAGGTTTAAAAAGACTATTTTGTCCCTATTTCATTTTGATCATGTACTGTTAAAAGGTTTATTTTGAGCATTGTATCAACTTTGATTCATATTAATCATTCTAATACTTATACTTTTAAAAAATAATCATTTTTGTTCTCAATTTTATTTTTAGTCTCATTTTTCTATTGACACTCCACTTAATATATTTCTTAAAATTTGAACATTACATTATATAAAAAGATTTCGAATATATGTATAATTTGCATTAAATTTTATAAATAGAGACTAAAAAAACAATCACTTTTCAAAAGTACATGGACTAAAATAAACATTTTGAAAGTAAAATTATTAAAATAAACTAAAATTAAAAGTGTATGGATCAAAATAAACATTTCAGAAAATATCGACACTAAAATGAACCAAACATGAAAAATACCTACCAAAATAATATTTTAACGTTTTTTATATTAGGAGTTTAAGAAACTGAATCTGATGATGATACACGCCAAAGGTTACAAATTTAGGAGGCATCACCTATTTTCCTAATCGTTTTGATTTATGGGTTGTTAGTCTTCAATTTTTTAATTTACTTTTGTTGTAGATGATTTATTAAATGATAAAGAAATAGGAAAACAAGAATAAAAATAACTTTTGACAACATATACTCCTTAGTGATTAGGTACCAATTGATGCAAATATGTATATATACATTAAGAAGATACAGTAGAACAATTGAAGAACGATGACATGAGATATGAATCGTTGTACACAAATCGTTTAAATTAACTGAAATATAAAATAAAGTAATTAAAATAATTAACTTGAAATCCCTTAAGGTTGGAAAATCATTTTGAATTCAAAACAAAGTCTGTTACGTAGTTGAATATTGGAAAAAGCCAAAAAGATATAGAAAAGGATATGGTTGGAAAATTATGTTCTTTTGTAAAACTCCTAAAATATCCTTTAATCATTTGTGCAAAATTTAAAACTAATAGATATTTTTTAAAACGGGTGTCAAAATTTAGCCATCCACCTCAATTTTCCAAAAAATAATGACACCATACAAATAGTCGAACCCAAAACACGAGGCCCAAGTTAAGGCCCATAATCAACAATCATAGCGGTTCCTTCTGAGTTGCCGCCAAGAAAGACCAAAACGGCACTTGCCAAAAGAAACTCAGTCAAAGCCACGTCATGCCTTACGTCATCGGAAAGTGAAACGTGGCGGACATCAACAGCAGTACAAGAAAATTTTCCAATATTTCGCCTTGTTTTGGCCTACCATAGAATATGATTTGTCTAATACGTTCTTTGGACAGCTCGAATTTGGAATCAACTATTTCAAAATAACAACAATCCAATGACCAATAGAAAGAAAACGATCTCAAAGGCGAAATTTCCCAACACCTGCCATTAAAACTGCGATTGCAGAGCAGAGGAGCAGTGGAGAAGAAGAAAGATGGGAGAAGAACTGAAGTTATTCAGAACGTGGTCGAGTCCGTTCCCTCTGAGAGTAGTATGGGCGTTGAAGATGAAAGGGTTAGAATACGACACCGTTTACGAAGATCTGGCGAACAAGAGCCCGCTGCTTCTGGAGTACAATCCCGTCCACAAGAAGGTTCCGGTGCTCGTCCATGGCGGAAAACCGATCGCCGAATCGCTCGTCATCCTCGAGTATATCGACGAAACATGGAAGCAGAATCCGTTGCTTCCTCCGGATCCTTACGACAGAGCCCTCGCTCGCTTCTGGGCTAAATTCGGGGACGATAAGGTAACTTCACTCCACTCAATCAATACTACTTCATCTATTTCTATTCTACTTAGGGCTCTCGAATTTGAAATTTGATTTGTTTTGTTTTAATTCACATGTAAATATATTATTTAAAACGCGAATTTTTTTTTTAGATTTAACTGAATTGAAAAGAAAATACAAATCCCTTCAACCTATTAATTTAAAAGAAAAAAAACTACTAAATTACAAAGGTCAATTTTTAAAGATTAAAATAAAATTGGTAAAATTATAAACATCAAACAATAATTTACATATATCTCAATTATAAACCTCGAACAGTAATGAACATCTCCAACTAAGTAAAAAATAGAATTAAATACATATATCTTCGATTAATGAAAAATAGAATTTGTAAAATTATAAACCTCAAACAGTAATAGAATATCTCGAATATCTCCGACTAAGTAAAAATAGAATTTGTAAAATTATAAACATAATTATAAACATCAAACGACATATATCTCCAACTAAGTGGGGATCAAAAAGTAAAATTATAAACATCAAATAGTAATTGACATATATCGACGTATGTCTCCAACTAAGTGGGGATCTACTAAGTGGTTGGGAGTTTGATCCCTCCCGTACTAAAAAAAATAAAAATGATATGCTATAAAGAGCACTTTTTTCCTTTAGTATAACTCAATTGATTTGTTTGATTAAAAAACTATAACTAAGATATATCTTTATCCGAACAAGCCGTGGCTTCAAATCTCCATTTCTACTGTTTAAAAAAAAACCAAACCATACTTTTTAACCATCAAAATATAAACCAACTTCAAAAGTTAAAAGAATATCTTGGATTTTTTAAAAATAAAAGTAAAAAACGTTGGCAAAGATTTTTAAAGCACTTTAAAGGTAGACTAACAATAACGAAACTTATCAACAATCAGGTATGAACTCTAATAAAACTATCCCATGCCTAAATAATCATTTTGCAAGTATGAGTTTTAGAAAGCAATATTTTTTTTTTCTTTTAGAAGAAAAAACACAACAATAATGGGATTTTCAATGCCTCTTTCATATTTTAATGACTTATTGTTAAGCATCAAATGTAGGTATTGGAATCTATAAAGAAAGTGCTCATGAACCAAGGGAAAGTGAAAGAGGAAGGAGTGGAAGAAGCCTTGGAGAATTTGAAGCATTTGGAAGAACAGTTGAAGGGGAAGAGGTTCTTTGGAGGGGAGGCCATTGGGTTTGTGGATATTGCAGTTGGGTGGCTTGCAAATTTGGTCAGTGTATTAGAGGAAGTGACTGAAACTCACCTTATAACAGAGCAGAGATTTCCCCTCTTGTCCAAATGGATAACAGAATTTGCTGCTGCTCCAATCATCAATGAAAATTGGCCTCCCAGAGACAAGCTTGTCGCCAAGTACCAAGCCCTGCATCAAACTTTTATTAGTAAAGAAACATGATTATAAGATTATAGATCATGTGATATAATCTCTAAGATGATAGATTACGGATCACGTGTTGAAAAATAATACAGCGGTTGCTTCTCTCTTCTATGGTTTTAATAAGTCCGAGTTTATGAAACTTGAGATTGTAGTGTATGGATTTGTACAAGAAATTATCTATATATATCACAAGCATGAGGGCTATAGCTTAGTCGGTGGAGCTACCATTTATACGTGCACCAATATTTTTCAAAGAAATACATCATGTGATCTTATTGAAAAATCGATGTCTTGCTTTGTCACTTTTAGGGATCAGCAACTGCTAATTCGAATAGGGCCATTGAACCAGCAACTAGAAAATTTGTATAAGGATGTTCATGGGGTGGGACGGCTTCTCTGTCCCCATCCTTGCCCCCATTTAATTCTCCATCCCGGTGATCGAGATAGAGATTCCCTACGGGAAATTCATGGGGGATCGGGTTTCCCGTGGAGATTTTTTTCCCGTTTATTCTTTTACTTCTAAATTATTTTTCAATTAAACATTTTTCTTTAAGAAAATTTATAATTACATAATTAATTTTCAACGATAAAAACTTTATCTACATGGTCTAATCCTCCTCTATATATTTTGGTGGGTAGAGAAGAATATGATTTTATTAGTACTAGCAAGAAACACATGCGATGCAGTGGAACTCGAAAGTTTTATTTTTAAGTACAAAAAAATGAATTAAAAAAAGTGATAAATTACAACGTAACCTAATTTTATAAAATTAAAGATGTTGGTTTCAGCATTTTATTATTGTTATATGAATATTTTAAATATTCGTATTATATTATATTAATTTTAATTAATACAAAATATTGATTTAAACATATTTTCTGTTCATTCATTTATAGTACCTTTTACGATTTCTAATTATTTAATTACGTGAGTATTTTAGATAATTCTTTTTTTTCATATGAATATTTTTTTATTGAAATTTAAATCAACACATAAGATGTTGCATGAATGTTGAACTACGTATTATATTTTATCATGATTTTTTATAAAAATATTTTATCGAGATTAATTACAATTCTTCATTTATCGTCAAAAAATATCACAATATATTATTTACTTACAATTTTTTTTGTAATTATAATTTAAAAATAAAGGATAATTAATTATTCAACAAAATTGAAACTGAATTTTTTAATAATTGTTTTATATAATACAATACATTATTTATTGGACTTTATTTCTAAATTAGAGGTGAGAAAGTTACTTAATAATTACCTACTATAGTTCTCACATATTTTTACCTATACCGACCCAATATTATCATATGTAGCTCAACCATAAACTTCAGCTAATAATAAAGCACGACTACAAGGATTTTGTATTTCTAAACATAAATGCACAAATTATAGAAACCTATTTTTCTCTCCTCTCCATTCACGCGTGTATCGCCTTTCTGTCTCAACAGCTTTCTCCTTCTGGCTCACCACTACCATTCCCTCTCAAGATCGCGCCCCTAGCATACAAGTTTAAAGCAACAACATTTTGCGACCTCGACTACAACTGTTATGCCCTCTGTCTTCCCTGTAACGACTTCTACTATGCCCTTTGGTTAAGTACGGTGAGAACGAAAATCTCACTTTCTCGCAAGTTTTTTAGTGCTCTCCCTTTTGCATTTTGTATTTATCTCACCCACTATGTGTATATATATCTCTCGAAAAGATGAAGAAGATGAAAGAGTTTTTAGAAGTTAAATGGAATAAAGATAACGGAGCATTAATGATCTTCTAATTATAGCTTTGATTCATAGTATATGTCAAAATTGAAATAGGAAGATGAAACACTAAAAGGTATTATGGCATAAATGAAGGGAGTGGGGAATTTAAAGGGGTGGGATCGTGAGGGAGAGAAGAGAGAAATGGAGAGAGAGAAAATTTATATTTAAATTACGCAATTACAATCAAAGGAATAGTTAAAATGAGAGGGTAAAAATGAAACACAAAGTTTCTCCCAATAGTGGCTTTTATATATACTATAGATATAGATAGGTAAGTATAGAAAGAATAATAAGATTTTTTCAGTATATATATATTAAAAAAATGCGAGTCGGGGCGGGGAACACCTTCCCCGTCCCCACTCCGTGGGAAATTTAAACAGGTGGGTCCCCATGGGGATGGGGCCTGTGGGGAAAATGAACATCCCTACCGGTCCAACCAGCAACTAGAAAATATTTTATACCAAAAAAAAAAATTGTATAATATATGTCTGTTAAATGAATCTATAATTTGGAACAGAGCATGTAGTTAACAGATCATGAATTGGAATTATTCTTCTTCTTTGTTATGGAAATCTTTTGTTTCCTTTATTCATCTCTTCTTCCACGAATGGAACACGTGATGATGGAAATGTTTGTTATCGCATTTCCTTTTCACTTTCACATTTTTAAGGACTTTAAGTTTTTAAGAACAGTTAGATAGCTAAAAAGAGCAATTAGAAGCATTATAAGAAAGACTAACCTTAAGAAATATATTTAGAATTTGATTCATAGGCCAACATGAGAGGTCGTCAGCAGTCAAAATCTGCAGGAATGCACACAGAATAATTTACATAAAAGAACGTCTTGGTGCAAGATAGACCATTGTAAAAATTGGTAGCCATGTCAAAATATAATTACCTGCCATGAAGTAGCACACGCACTATCTGCATTCTCATAATCCCAATCCTACCTATTTTTGGCAGTATCAGGTTGAATCATCTCATCAAAACAGTTGAATCAGTAAAGATCGATTACTTTAAAAGACCCATCTTGATTTAAATTCTTCCAATCCCAGTTATCTTTGTCCGGAAGAAAAGGTAGCATTGACTTGCAATTAGGAACGTTGACAGCGATCAACAGGTATAACTTGGCAGGACTTGACCTTCTCAGATTTGCTCCGAACTCGAACAAGGACGAAAAGTTCATTTGCAGTCCAATGCGAAGATTTTATGCTCGGGTATTAGAAATCATAACGAAGTATATCAATCATTCACCAGTGATCTCCACAACTACAGGTTCCATCCTTGAATAGATGAAACCGATTGGCATCTCTCACCAGTATTTCTCTTTGCATTACCTTAGTTATGTATTTGGTTACAGTATGACAATCTCCACATACTCGAAGGTTTTTCATTACCAACAAAGGGGTCCCCGGTTTTGTATTCAACAATCCGAAGGCTATCGCGAGCCTTTCGCTGTGCCCACATAGGATGTCTCTCTTATCATCTTCCTCAACATCGTGCAGAGAAAATTGCAGGTCTGCAACATAGCCTTCCTTGGCCATTAACCCTGCAAGGTATTCGAGTAAATCTTTGACCTTGTCATACTGTTCAAATGATTTATCACCTGTCCTAAATACATAAAACCTTTTCTGAATCTCAATCCAGCTACTTCCAGGTTCCTTTTTGAGCCCTTTAGTTTTCATGGAATTTCTTACCATTCTCACTTGATCCCACTTCCCTAATGTGGCATATATATTTGATACGAGCACATAATACCCAGTATCGTCTGAGTTCAACTGAAGAATTTGCTTTGAGACTCGTTGGGCGATGTTCGTGTGCCCAGTTGCTCGACAGGCACTAAGTAAAGCTCCCCATAAACTTGCATCTGGTTTTATTGGCATTGACAGAATAAACTCCTCTGCTTGAGCTAATAAGCCAGATCGAGCCAAAAGATCAACAACACAAGCATAATGTTCCATCATAGGCTCAATATTGTAGTCGGTTTTCATTCGATCAAAGTATGTGAGCCCCTCTTTGACCATTCCAGAATGACTACAAGCAAAAATGAGAGCAATGAAGGCAACAGAATCAGGAAAAACTCCACTAGACTCCATATCCTGAAAAGCCTTTAATGCTTTCTTTCCTTCACCATACATTCCAAATGCAGAGATCAAAGCAGTCCATGTCACCACATCTTTTTCTTTCATATAGTTAAATACTTTAGTACAATTTTCTAGACTACCACATTTGGAGTACATTTCAATTAGGGCATTTCCAGTTGGGACATCTGATTCAAATCCTAACTTGAAAATGCAGCCATGGATCTCTTTCCCTTGTCGCCGTGCAGCAAGCAAGGAACACATGGGCAAGATTCCTAATATGGTGGCCTCATCTGGAATCAACCCTTCCGTTCTCATTCGGATAATTGCCTGAAATCCTATGCTGCAATCATCAAAATGAACACTTGAAGCAATAAGGGTATTCCATGATATAATGTCATGAGCTCTCATGTATGCAAACACCCTCAATAAATCGTCCATTCCACCACATTTAGCATACATATCTAGAAGTGCATTACCAATGACAAGTTCAGCTTCGAACCCAAGTTTTATCATATCACAATGTATTCCTCTCCCCTGATCTATATTAGCTAACTGAGAAAACATAGATAGGAGCAGAACAAAAGTCACAGAATCCAGTTCGTTTTCCCTTTTCATCATCTTAAAAGTCTCCACCCCCTCCTTGTAATAGCCATGTTGAGTGTAACCGTTAATTAACGAGTTCCATGTCACAGAATCCTTGCATTTCATTGCGTCAAAGACTTGCTGTGCAGCCAAAAGATCCCCACATTTAGCATACATATCTATAAGGATATTACATGCTACAGTATCACATTCATACCCGCTCCCGATTAAGTAATTATGAACATATTTTCCAACCTGCAGATCTGCCAAGTGCCCACAGGCACGAATGGTTGATGTAACCGACAATAGATCTGGAGTGAATTTATCTATCATCTCCATGAATAACTTCACAGATTCTTCATACTGCCCAAGTTGGGAGTATCCACAAATCATGGTATTCCAAGAAACCGAGTCTTTCACATCCATCTCGCCAAAAACCTGACCTGCTTCTCTTGGTCTCTCAAACTTGAAGTACATGGAAAGAAGTCCATTACCTATAATAACATCTCGACCAATTCCAATCTTTTCAATCGCCCCATGAACATTCAACCCTTCTTTAACAGCCATTAAGCTTCCACAAGCAAGTAAAACGCTGGTGGTGAAACGATCGGGTACCATCCCAATCATTCTGGACTTGTGATACATTTCCAGAGCCTCCTCCCAAAACCCATTCGAACAATATCCAGAAATTAAACTATTCCACGATACACTGTCTCGGTCAGACATTTCCTCAAACACATATCGTGCTTTATCAAGATCCCCAAATCTAGAATACATATCGATCAATGCGTTGCCAATATACAAATCCGATCCAAACCCCATTTCCATAACATGTTCATGAACAACGTGACCCATATTCAGGTCCAAAAGTCGAGCACATGAATTGATAACAGAAGGAAAAGTATAAGCATCAGGCTGAAGCTTTTTTTCACGCATCTCAGTGTAATATCCAAGTGCTTGCGTGAAGAGACCATTGTGGGTGGAAGCACGTATAATCGAATTCCATTGATAGACATTGGAAGTTGGAGAAACAGTGCGAAAAACCGAAACAGAAGAAATTGGGTCTTTAAGCTGGGCGTACTTGCTTATAAGTTTGCCGGAAAAGACGACGGAGAGGCTCAGTCCTGAAATGATGATCAAGGAATGGATATTCCGTAGCTGTGAGGTGTTTTTGGCAGATGACAGAGCTTTCAGTAGTGATGAACGAAGAACTTCTTGGGCAGTTTCCGGTGAATCGTTGAAACAGAATCTCGGCGGTTTCATCGGCGGCAGAATTATTCGACATGAGAAAAGAGCGCGGGAGGAAGTATGTATCTTAATTCTTATGTTATGTTCCGATTATTATTATTACTTTTATATTTTTTAAAATTAAGCTTATTTTCACGCTGTCAGGAAAATTGAGCGGAATAGTTGTCCTCACCTTTTATGTTTTTTAATCGCCATTTTCAAAACAGAAGATTTCTACATCAATGTCATCCCTGTATTTTCTACCCATTTTATTTTTATCTATTTCATAAAAATTAACTCTGTGAAAGAGACCAGCTTTCATCCTATAATCTTTCACGATAGAGATGGGAATTCCAGTTAAATATGGCCTTCAAATAAACTACAAATAGAGATACAAAGGATGTCAATGTGGTAAGAATTTTTCATTATGGACAAACAGTAATCACAATCAATTTATAAGTACAACACCAAGTACAACACCAAGCACACAATGGAACAATTTGCGCTTCTTGGCATACCGCAGATCTCTTCTGTATGACGACATCTTAATTTAAGGTATCCGAAGTCAGTTGTCACGACTGCACACTCATCCAAATCGCAAATTCAAGAAACTCTGTTACACATGTATCATATTATAAAGTCACCTCTTCCCCCTGCTGACCGTGTTCACGAGCAATGGAAGCCGAGAGAATTCCGAGATCACGATTTAGGAATGTCAATGCGGATTCGCACTCTGATATTATTCTGGTCACGGAAGATGGCTCTCCAGCAATCGTTTCAGATGATCCAATGGCCAGTGCTGCATGAGAATCTCTAAGATTCCTCAAGTTGCCCAAGAACTGCCATAACAACATCGTATCACATTACAATTTAATGCTCTAACAAGAATATGAAACAGAAAAATGAATTTCAAAAGGATGATGTAAGAGGAAACTGGTACTGTTTTCTATATGGAAAAAGGTTTAAAGAAACAAGGCCTTTCTTGAAATTATTTTTTGTCGGAAAGAAGCAACAGAACTTTTATGGGAGATGATATCTATTTTGCCTTCTTGAGGGATCATACTGGCTTCGTGATTTTGCCTTATTTTCTCTTTTTGCTATCTCGAGAAAAAAATAATAATAATAATAACCACAGCAACAATAATAATTATTGTTATTAATTACTAGTCCAGTGTAGGTTCGTCTTCCCTTCTTTTTCCACATTTCATCTCATTAATGAAACAGTTGATTGTTTATTAAAAAAAAAATCATCAACTGGGTTTGCAGCAACAATAATGAAGAACATAAATAAATCGGCATCATGGATATCGAAGTAATTAGCAAATGGATACCTTTAATAGCATATTGTATGCTTCTAACAGGCGGTTGGCAGCTGGCCCAAAGCCATGAAGCTGTGGAACCTCCATCATGTGTGTCCATGGACGAATTTCCTACCATAAAAGTGATAATCAGAGTCAATAGCAAAAATTAATATATTTCCGTTCCAACTCAAGGATAAGGAAATCCTTTCAAATCTTTCATGTAAAGAGAAACATCCACTTAGGCTACCATATACTAGCTTAAGCAAAACCACATACAACGGTTAAAAACGTAGATTAGACAGCATATAATTGTTTTTTTAGAAACGGCAAATCCATGAGTAAGTCCCTCTCTTCACAACAGAACTAACAAGAACATAGAACAGAGAGTTTTCAATAACAGGTATGACATACCCACCAAGTGATTTGCGTGAGAACTTTAGAATCGAGGTTTTCTCAGAATTAAAAGCAAAATAACCATCAATTTAACGAGTAAGTAATATATATGACACGAAACCCAAGAATAATCCAGTAGAAAGCAGAAGAAAAATTTAGAAATAATTTAACAGGATTGCCAATGGGAATCTAAACATAGTGGAGGCATTAGGAAAATAAGCAAAGCTTGTGCAACTTTTGATAATTCGCACATTATAAAAAGTATGGAAGTTATAGATAACAACAGCTCGACCAAAAAAGAAGACCACATCAGCTAACAGATAATACTCCACAATGTTAAGACGAACCTTGGTGTAAATAATGTTAAAAGATCTTGCTGTTTCAAGGAAAGATTCCAAGTGTGCCCGCAATTGAGATTCGACCTCCGTATATTCCTCGTCTGGGTTGTAAGCATGCTACAAAAGGAATACAATAATAATCAGAAGACATCAAAACAAAGCAACACTACAAATAAGTCTTCATAGATTTAACACTACAAAACGCCACCTCAAATCCAAACAAGGCTAAAAATAATCATTTTTAGTCTGCAATAACTAATCAATCAGACTGCAGATTGGTAAAGTTCAGAGCAGTAGGACATAAAGAAGTTGGGGGAAAAGAGGCAATAACTCATAAATTTCACTAAAGAACTAGTAAAAAGACCACCTTGACCCACTATATTCTGTTTAAATTGACGACTAACAACATAAGTGGCCATATATTATTTAAGTAATTTTTATTAGAAACATGCTGAAAATGATATATGGGTGACGTATCTTGGATAACACATCCAGCTACAGAGCAGATCCATTGCAAGAGTGACAGTAAGGTGAGAAAAATTGACAGAAAGTAGCAGAAACCTTGGATGCTAAATCATCAACTTTCTGTTGAAGATTCAAAAGTAGCTTCGATTGTTCTGCAAGCTTAGTTTCAAGCTCAGAAACATCTGGCCTGAAAACAAAAGAAGAAAAAGACTTGATTAGGCTACATAATGCCATAACATACAATAGAATAGATTAAAACACAGCATGACCTCTAAGATGCAACATCAAAAGTATGGTATATTTATAAAAATAATTAATAGCAATGTGGTGGGTTTAGACTGAAATCTTTGAATAAGATAGCGATAAAAGCTGGAGGATGAAGATAGCAGATTTAGTAGTTCAAAAATCCATCATTATAACTGGGTACAGGATGTGGCAGTAGCAGGCAGGCTTACATGTTATTTATGATAACATGTAAATAAATTGGCATATTAACAAAATAAATCAAAATAAATAAATGGGCAGAGCAATTGATGGGAAATCAAAAGAACATAGCTCAAAGTCAAACTATCAAAAGAAGAGGAAGGCAGGTCTCCACTTTGTTTATGGGAATCCAATAAGAATTAACAAAGCAAGAAAAATGCAGAAGACATAGATTGATATAGGATGACCATTACAATGGATATATAGACTGAATTTGAACATCAGCAGGAAACAATTTGCATTCTTCTGAGAATATTTGAGCTTGTTTCTCTGCAATAGAGTCTATGAGTTGTATGTCTTTTGCAACCTGCTCATCGACACTGCAGGAACAAAAATGCAAAAACAGTGATTTCTTAGACTCTCAATCAGTTATCGGAGGATTGAATGGTATTCCCAATACATGATAAAACAAATGGCAACCTCCAATCTGGATTATCTGCATAGATGCTTGCCTCAACAAGATCGACAATAAGACGAATCATTTCAGTTCGCTCCTCATAGCTTCCCCTTCCCTGTAAAGTACAAACATAAAGTTAACAAGAAGCTGGGTGCACTCACATAGTGAAGAGGTTTGCTAAATATGTAATCAAGTTCATACATAAAGCTTGATTTGATTACAGGCAATACCGATTAGAAAAAGTTATGGGTCTTCAATGTGATAAAGGTACCATGAGAACTCAAACAAAACACAATGACATTACTGTTGTAGCATACATCGTGAGAGAAATCTTAGGAAAAACACATATCAGTATCAATAATTGTGACATCAGTTTCTTGATCGTGAGTTTAACCCAAAATCCATAGTCAATAAATATGGATAGCTTAAATTTATTTTACTTGTACAGAAAGTAGAAGGAATTCAGAAACGAACTTGGATAACTTCAGTATCAATAGCGGTTGTAATGCCCAGAAACTTTGCAATTTCTGCCAAATCTGCAGAATACAGCCATTAGTTATAACACACTGATCAACCTAACGATAAAAACAAAATCAGTACCAAAATTTAAATAATGAAAATAAAAGGCAACAATAAACTAAAACAGTACATAAATTATGCATCATGTGTGATGCATCGGGGTAAAAAAACTTGATGGAGCAATCACTAATCAACGATGAAAGAAAACCTACCTACAGAAAACAGATTACTCAGAGGTGCGATTTTTTTAGTGATTCAATTACTTCATTATTCCTACACCATCTTGTCGACTCTAACATCAAGGTTAACCAGCACCCAGACAATTTAAATAGTCGGTGATGCAAATTTTAGTTTGTCCTAGGTGAAGAAGATCACCGAGCTAGAAATGAGAAGACTAACACTGAATCCGAGCAGTCTCTTCATCGCGATCAATAGCATCTCCTTGGATATTTTGTTGCGAGAATGGCGACTTGTCACCCAACAGACTACAATTCAAGAACGCGATACAATAATCCATCAAATACAGGCTTAGAATGAAATCAAAGGCTCGGAAATAGAAGTCGAATAGTGGTGAAGATGTGTAATTGAAAGAATTGGAGAACGTTGGCGATGAAAGAGATGGGCGCAAACCGGAAGAAGAGCCACTCGAGAAGGGCGTAGCGCTCCATGCCAGCGAAAAGGAGGGACTGGGCAGCAGCATTGGCTCTAGGGTAATTGAGCATTGATAGCTTCCTCTGAATCTCTTCCATTTGCCTCGCTGCCATCTTCTTCTTCGTCTTCGTCCGTTTCTCACTGTGGATTGTACCCTGTTTTACTCTTCCTTCTCTCCACTCTCTCTCCTTAGACCACACCGTCTGGTCTCTCTCTCTCCGTTGACGTTTTCTCCATCAAACGGAACGGAACTCCCATCGGGCGGTCCAAAAGTGCTACTAATCTAAACCGCGGCCTAATATAGCGAATATAATGTATAATAAGAAAATAACCAATGTTATTCATCTGCATGGAAATTTCTATGTTGATTAATATTTCTAGAGAAATTTTAAAAAATCGTAAAAAATATTTATAATTTTTAAGTAAGTTAAAAATAATTAATACTAATATTAGGTATATTTTACTAACATTTTGTTGATATTTTTTTATATTTTATTGATATGGTTTAAATATTATGAAAATGTCGATTTATCTTTCATGTCAATGTCAACTTGTGATACATGAACATGTCAATAGATTTATTGATGGATATTTAATACTATGTGTATAACCCAACCTCTATATTTGTGAGTTATGTGGAATCAAGTTATTGGGTTATTGAAATTTTGATTTTTATGATTCAAGATTTAAAATTTAGGTTGGCCTATCGGGTGTTGGTTCGCATTGATGTACTTCACAACTAATGTTCATTTCGGTCTCTTACTCTTTAAAATGTTCATTTTGATTTATGTATATATGTTTTTTTGGTACAACAAGTAGGGGTGGGATATTCGAATTCATGATCTCTTGGTCAGAGACATGTATTAATTACTGCTGAGCTAAGTTCTATTAGCATTCAGCCATTTTACTGAATTTATTGAAATGTTGTCATAAATTTAAATTAAATAATTTTTATCATGAATTGATTTTGTGTTCAATATTTATAAGTATGTCAACTTTTAAAAGTATATCGATAAAAACGAACATCGAAAGTATGCAAATTATAATAAACATAGGTAGAAAGTAAGAGAGAGAGAGAGAGAGAGAGAGAGAGAGAGAGAGAGAGAGAGAGAGAGAAAAACACCAATGAAGTTATAACATCACAATAGTAATAGGAAGAATAAGGATTTTAAATTTGAGTATGTAACCGAAAATTCGAAAACTTAACGGACTAAATAAACAAATACACAAAACTCGAGGATTAAATTTGTAATTAAATATACAAAGAAAAGCAGTAAAAAAATGGAGGACCAATGAAGAACGAGATCCAAGAGAGGCAAGTGCAGAAACGGTCACAGTCGCAGGCGATAAAATTACGGCAGCAAAGCTTAGGCAAAAAAATGAAACTATTTTGAAAGTGAAACCACTGTTCGCCATTAAAGCTCTCTCTCTTCATCCTCAGATCTCCATCAAAATGCTCTCTCTCTCCTCCACTCTCTCTCCTCACATCACTCTTTCAAAAAACCCCACATCCCATTTTCCCCTTCACCACCCGAATCTCCGATCGAAATCCCCCAAACGCGCCCAATTCTCCACCTCCACCGCCATTAATGGCGTCTTCTCAAAACCCTCTTTCCAGATTCCCAAATCGAGCGGATTCTGCAAATTTCCCGCGAACCCATTTAGGTTTTCTCCGCCCGCGGCCGCCGCCGAGGACGCCGGCGATGCCTCCGACGATTCGTCCTCCAAGGCCAAAACCCTTCAGCTCGCCGTTGTGTTCGGGCTCTGGTACTTCCAGAACATCGTCTTCAACATCTACAACAAGAAGGTTCTCAATATCTTCCCCTTTCCATGGCTTCTCGCTTCGTTTCAGCTCTTCGCTGGATCGATTTGGATGCTGGTTCTCTGGTCTTTGAAGCTGCAACCGTGCCCTAAAATTTCAAAGCCCTTCATAATCGCTCTCCTCGGCCCCGCTTTGTTCCACACAATCGGCCACATCTCCGCTTGCGTTTCCTTCTCCAAAGTCGCCGTCTCATTCACCCACGTCATTAAATCGGCGGAACCAGTCTTCACAGTCTTATTCTCCTCGTTCCTCGGCGATTCGTACCCTCTCAAGGTCTGGCTCTCGATTCTCCCCATTGTTTTTGGCTGCTCTCTGGCCGCCATTACCGAAGCTTCCTTCAATTTCGAAGGTCTCTCCGGCGCCATGATCAGTAACGTGGGATTTGTTCTAAGAAACATCTACTCCAAGAGGAGCTTGCAGAATTTCAAGGAGGTTAATGGGTTGAATCTGTATGGGTGGATTAGCATAATTTCATTGTTTTATCTGTTTCCTGTGGCGATTTTTGTTGAAGGGTCGAAATGGGTTCAAGGGTATCATCAGGCGATTGCCTCCATTGGACAGGCATCAACATTATACATCTGGGTTTTGATTTCTGGAATCTTTTATCATCTTTACAATCAATCTTCTTACCAAGCTTTGGATGAAATCAGTCCTCTGACATTCTCTGTGGGGAATACGATGAAGAGAGTGGTTGTGATTGTGTCGTCTGTTTTGGTTTTTAGAAACCCCATTAGACCTCTGAATGCTGTTGGTTCTGCCATTGCCATTTTAGGGACTTTTCTGTATTCGCAGACTACGACGAAAAAGAGTGCTAAGAAGATCGAGGAGGGCGAGAAGAAGGATTGAGGAATGGAAGAAGAAGAAGAAGAAGAAGAAGAAGAAGAAGAAGAAGAAGAAGAAGAAGAAGAAGAAGAAGACATTGTTTTGGCTTGGTTGGAAGTTGGAAGTTGGAATTTGAAGTTTTGTTTTGATCTTCTGAATTGGATATTCAAATGTTCTTGTTTAGTTGAGGAATGGGTAATCAGATTTAGGTGTTGTCGTGAGTTTTAAGTTATGAAATCTAGCTTTTTGCAGCAGTGGTTTTGGCTTTGAGATCCATCTTTTTGCTCTCTGAAAATGTGTTGAGTTTGTGAAAGATGAGATTGATTCATCAGTTTTGTCTCTGTTGCTGTGTAATTTGTTCAAGTGCATCTTCATTTCTGCTGGCAAATTTTGTTAGTTCAAACAATCAGTTTATTAGGGGCATTACTAATGCCATAGCACCTTTCTTCAAAACTTTCCTTGGCTGCATTTTGAAAAACAAAAGCAAAATTTTTAAAATTTTGTTATTTAATTTTCAAAATTTAGCTAAGATTTTCAACTCTATTATAAAGAAATACATACCAAAGTCAGGAGAATTTTGAAATTTTAATTTATTGGGTCAAAATAGAGAACTTGAAATTTTTAACATTGCAAGAACAGCTTGGAATCTCAACTTCCTGCACCTTTGCTTCTGATTTTTGGAAGGATATCCTTAGTACTTTTGGTTGGTCCACACCGCCAACTTATCCTTGAGGCCACGATTATGGGACACCCCTTCAAGAACGAAAAGGAACAGCTATGGACAAATTTCATTCGAGCATTTCTGTGGACTACACTTGGGGTGAACGAAATCAAAGGACCTTCAATGACAAGACACAATACTTTGAACGTTTTTTTGATGCTATGGTTATAAAGCTATCTCTCAGTGTAAAACCTCTCCTATTTTTAACTACTATAGCTATACTTCCCTCTTGTTTAATTGGAACTGCCTTATGTAATACATCAATGGGCATTTTGTGACCCTTCCATGGGCTTTTGTAATTTCATACATTATTGAAATTGTTTCTTCAACCAAAAAAAAAAACATTTTATGATTTTTTTAATATAGGACCAACCAAAATTTAACAACTTCGGTTTTTTTTTTAATAATAAATTGAAGGTCGTAAACTAAATTTAAACCTAATTCACCTTGCCAACACGGTCATAGTTATGACATGTACTTCTTCTCTTGAAGTTGGGGTCTCGATCCCCATATCCCAAGTTTGTGCTGCCAATTTGTGAGCTGTGACATTTACCCTCCTTGGAACATGATCAAAGTGAGAATCACAAGGGGGAGAAGAGAGCACGAATGTCCCGGATCAGAGTTCCATCTTGGTCGATATCCTTAGAGGTATATTTTTTACTTCTCATCGTTGATAATTCAGTAATATATTTTTTTAAGTTTATAGGTTAAAGTATTAAATTTGTAATTTACCCTAATATAATTTAGATTTAGATATATATATATATAGAAGAAGTAAATTTTTAATTAATATTTTTTAATTCAACTAATTAAGAGATATATTAAAACCTAAACACTAAAAAAAATTAATTACTAACACGAGCTCAGTTGACGAGTAGTAATACCACCTATTCGTTGTACTTGAAAAAAAGCCCCCACTCTAATTCTACTTGGAAAACGAAAAGAAAAAGAAGTAGTTAATTATAATTTAATTGTCTTGTCAGACAAAAATGTTAAAATGGGGCATAATTTTATTATGTTCATCTCGCAAAAATAAATGAAGCGCAAGCGGAGCGGGTACGATAAAAAAAGCCCTCCAACTCTCTGCTTGCTCCGATCCGAGCCCTCACAGTCGCAGGTTAGTCAACTAATTTTTCCATTCGATTCCGTTTCCCTTTTCGTTTCGTCAATTCCCCACATTTTGTTTTGATTCCTACAAAACTCTCGTTTATTCTTTATCTTCAACGATTTTGTTCCCAAAAAAACGAATTTCTAGAGGAAACGAACCATAAAAAACCAAGTGATTCGCTTCTGAAGGTAAATGTTGGTTGTATCGTGTCTTCTAATGCGATTAGTTCATTTATCAGTGCGTTTATTCTGTTAGCTTTTATCATCTGCAGGTTTTTTCATCAATTCCCCTCTCTCAGTAGTTACATTTGGTTCTACACTGGTTTTTGTGAGTAATTTGCACTGGAAAAAGATAACCAGATGCAGTCACAAGAGAAACCTCCGTCAGAGCATACAACAATGGAGCCGCGAAATTATGAAATTTTTCCACTCTCAGACAAACCGTTCCATGGTGTTATTCTTGCAAAATCGCATGTCGCTCCCATTTATAATATGGTAAGTTCTCTAGAAATTACTCAGAAATATAAGAACAACTAGGGTTATGAACTAAATTGGATTCTGAGTGACTGTATTCCAAAACCCCCCAAAATTTATGGCTTAATCTGCAAAATATCTGGCTAGTTTATAGTTTTGGTCTCCCTTTTGTTATTATTATTTCGTAAAGCAACATTTGAAGAGAAACTTGCAAGATTAGCTAGTCTGGAAACTATTATAAAAACAGTTCAGAACAAAAATTTTGTATAATCGATTCAGGTAACTACTTTAATGGTTGGTCTTTTAGTATTTTGACAAATGATTTGTTAATCATAGATTTAGACAATTAGTTTCGAAAATGAAAACAGGAAATCGTCTTCAGAAGAGCCATGACTCTCCTGTTCAGAATCATGATTATGACTTGACAGTTGACTGTACCCAGTTCTTAACTAATGCCAAATGTTCAAATTATGCATTTTTTAGGCAAACAAATATATTGGTTTAATAGTGAAGAATGAAATATTTTCATTTGTAGACTTTGCCAGCCAAATTTCATTCTGTTTTACCTGCTATTGTGATCCATGGGGTTCTTTACTGTGGGGGCAAGGAATGGACAGTAGATTACTATGGAAACCGACGCGGTAAGTCACTTGATACGAGACATTGGAGGAAGTTTGTGAATGATAATCATCTAAAGTCTGGAGATGCTTGTGTATTTGAGCTCATGGAATGTAGCAGCAGCACACTCAAATTCAGAGTTCAAATTCTCAGAGGTGACATCCCTGTCCAGCTGCACGACAAGTTCAGCGGGGAGAGTAAAGACACCCCTATAAAAATTGACTAGCTGCCCCTTATTTCTATGGCTTGTGAACACGATATATATGCTTTTGGAATCAGGTAACCCGTTTGATCTCAGTAAGTGGATATGTAATCCTGTTTTTATGATATATGTTTCATGGATATTTCAATTTATACTTCATTCTCTTTGCATTTGGACTAGAGGGAACCATCAATACACGTTTTAGGAAGTAGGGGAAAGCAAAACCATTCAAAGTAATTTTCATTGCATAAGCATGACTGCTGAAAAGATTAAATGTTAAGACGAGCATCAAATTTGATTGTATTCTCGAGTTTTATAAGTATGGATGTTGTTGGTGTAAGGATTCCATTATTATATCTGATTGTTGTCTACTAGATTACTTTATCTTTCATAATCCTTACATATGTGTGCTTCACATATGCATGTTCGTTTTGAATCTCTTGATTATCCTTCTTTACACACAAGAGCACATCTTCTATGATCCAACGGAGTCAAAGATATCATTTTAGAAATTTGCATGGAACACGATCAATTTTCCAAAGCAAACATAGGTGTGTGAATTTCAAGATGTTCTTCAAACCATGTAACATTTATGTTAAGTGAGCCCGCTTAGCTCAACCCTAGACACTTTAAGTTCCTTTTTTCAAAACCAAGAAGTGAGTTATTTATCTGCCAAACATTCTTCTTATGGCTAGATCGAGTCTGGTCACTACAACTGAAACCCCCTTTGTGAGGAGGCACCCTTTCTCTTGAAGTTACGGGGCTGGCTCAGTTTGCCGAATTAGAAGCCGTTGCACAATTCGAAGGCATCTTTAAATACTCAAAGTTTCATATCAGAAGCAATTTTTCAAGAAACTACTCGAGTTTTAGCAAAAGCCGCCCTCTAAGGATAGACGTAACGCTTTAGCCAGTATACGGAAGTGCATACCATGATTCTTCTGTCAATCAACAACGACATGTCAAACTGATTTGATATAGCTTCTCAAAGAGCCTCACATTGGTGTTCTCTCTCCCATTCATTCTTGGGTTACAATTCAATAGATATTTGCTTGAATTGGAAAACTTTTATTTTTTCTGATTAGTTAGTGTTTTCTAGCTTAATTATTGGCTTTGTTGTTAAATGTTAGCTTAGTTTTTTCTTTGTATTTCTTCACCATTTTCATTACTTCAATGAAATCTCTCGTTTCGTGTTAAACAAAAAATGATAGCAAGAACTAATTCCATTTGTTGGTTACAAAATTCAAACACTTCAGAATATTATCATCTTGAATATTTTGTTAGATACAGTAGTTTAGTCTAACCAATATGGTTCTGTTGCTGCAACCAAATGATGCTTCCTCATGCATTATGCTCTACCCGTGTTGTCTTCTTTATGCCAATTCCGACAGAGTATATAGTAAATATGTAAATCCATTTTTCATCATTAGTTATTTCGTCATGCGACCCACATCTCTTCTCCATATTGTTTAAATCTAGATGTCAGTAAATCTCGATTTACCTGTTCCAGATTGTCCCAGCATCATCATCATCGTCGTCATCTTGCTTTGATATGTCATTATTTGACATTGTTTCTGATTTTGGTGTGAAAATATTCAGGAATCTGGATTGCCTACCAATGTACCACAGACTTTTATGTGTGGACGTTTTCTCGGACGCGTTAGCTAGCAGTATCCTGCTGGTTAAAGGTTTAATCTTACAAGTAATTTTCTTTGTAAAGGTTAACAAAATTTTGTAGGAGAACTGTTGAAGTTATGTAGACTGTTTTAACTCTGAATATGGAACATGCAGCTGCTGTTCTATGAGCTCAAATATATTGCATTTCAAAAGTTTTATATTCTTTAGTTTATTAATTCCAATCTTTTAATTTTACCACCATTAATTAGTCAATACAACAAAAACAAGAGAGAAATAATAGAGACCTATGAATCACACGAAACCATGAGTACTGACGTTCATCGTTGGATTGAGGTTTGACCCTCTCGTGCCTGTGGATGCAAAAGGGCTTATTATTTTATAAATAAGATATTTATTATTATTTACAAAGGACATGTTTGGTATAAAATTTTATTAGTTTTTGGTGGGGTGGAGATTTGATGTTTTGATTGATGATATATGTCTTAATCAATTGAGAAAAAATAGTGTATAAGACATCTATTATTTCTCTAAACTTTGAAGATAAATAAAAGAAAAAACGTTTGAAGATAAATAAAAGAAAAAACGTTTGGGGAAAAAATCCCTTTCAATAATTTATCATATATACCTTCCTATTTTAAGAAATTTCTAATATTGGTCTTTTTTTTAGTGTAATAAATATGGGTATGAATTTAAATTTTTTATCTTAAAGAAAGGATAGATCGCTTTATCGTCAAATTATAATTGGTCTCTTGATTGGTTAAAATATTAAAAAAATTTAAACCAATTGTTTTTTTTTTTCACACACGATGTAATCCATAGGCCCTCAAACCCGACGTTTTATTTAGTGTTCCTCGTGGATATGTAGTAACGACTTCGTGTAGTTTCATGGAATCAACGAGAGAAAAAGGAGGGATATGTGATTTTTGAAAGAGATATTTGAAATAGAAAATCCCTAAATCAAACATATTTCTATTTTTTAATTTTTAATTGATAATTTATTAAATATATATTTAAGAAAGCAAATTCGAGACTCTATAGACCTTAAACATTTATGTAATTAGATTATTAAAATAGGCTATACGTGTACTGAAAAATGGCCTACACCCATCCATCAAGAAATCCAAAAACGACAGCGTCTCGTCGTTTTACTCCCAGACTTACAAAGAAGTAGAAAATTCACGCAATACATTTATTTACGAAAATAGATTCCCGCAATAGTTCGATCAAATTCACAGAACATTTTGAGATAAGATATCCAATGATAAATTAGTTTCGCTTTCAAATTTCAGCTGATATATATATATATATATATATWTTTTTTTCGCTTTGTTACCACAGTTGTTTTTGTTCCGCTCTTCGCCTTCGTCTTCCATTCCCGGGTTTTTTTCCCTCAGCAAAAAAAAGAAAAAAAAAAGTGTTCCTCTTTGTCTCCTCCTTCTCCCGCTTTCTCCGATTTCATCGGCATCCTATGCAGAGCAGGTGAGAGAGCAAAAATGGAGATTGAATTGGAGCCCCGAGTGAAGGCACTGGACTACAAAGTGAAAGCAGTGTCCAGAGAATCGCCGTCTCAGAAGGCTGCCAATGTTCTGGATTCCGATCTTCGCACTCATTGGTCCACCGCCACCAATACTAAGGAGTGGATTCTTCTCGAGCTTGATGTACGTAATCACTACTCTCTCTCTCTCTCTCGCTTAATTAAGTACTCATTCGAGAAGTCCAATAAGAACGAACTATTCCTCTTCACTGTTGCTGTAAGTGAACGATTATGTGGTATAGTATTCGTCTATAAGTATTGAGATAGTTCTGTTTTGTGGGGTTTAGCATTATCTTACAGAGATTTACATGCGGGCAATGTATAAGAAGAAGAATAAAATTTGATCAAATTCCTACAATATTAAGCATAGGAATCTTGGAACACTTTTAGTTCAAGTCCCGCCACCTACTTAGGATCTTAAAATCCCCTAAATTGTCTAACAAAAAAATGTCGCAGTGTATAGCAATTGTTCGTGAGATTGGCATAGACCCCATGTCGGCTCTTGGTTAAGCGGGTTTGCTCCTTGAGATTCAAGAACCGCTCACCCTTTTACTGCAAATGACTTATGCTACCTCGTCCCAAGCAAGAGGTTGACAATAAATTCTTTCAAAATTGACTATTTGTGTCTCTGTTACGAAACTCTGCACCTCGTTAAGATCATATTGGCATACTCCCAAAAAAAGAAGAAAAAAATGAAGATCAAAACTAAATCCTGTGGAATCATATTGAATATTTGACAAGACATTCCGTAGCTTGACACTCAATTCTCCAAAGAAGGCCATGACAGTGTTGGGCCGACCAAAGAATTTTAGCTTGTGTTTTGAAGGAGTAATTTCTAAGAAGGGACGAGGCTCAACCTCACTCTCTTTGACTTCAACCTTAGCGTATATGAAAGTAGTAGTTTTCTTTGACCTTGATTTTTGCTTCCATACAATTGAGTGAACTAGAAGTTCTATAGGAGCATTTGACTAAACCTCCAAAGACATATATAATGGATCTAAAGATTTTCATCCTCTATAAATTCAAAGGAATGTTTCAAACTTCCAATCACCATCATGGATTGGAACCTCTGGAGTCCTCCTATGGATTCTAGTGCCCCACTTTCTGAATTTAACAGTAAATACTCCCATCAAGCACCAGCCTATATTCGCATTTTCAACTTAAGAAAATGCTTATGTACAGTTTATGACCTCTTGTTGGCGTGCCCTACACGAAATTCTTTTGCTACCATGGTGTTTTTCTGATTAACCTATATTGAAAGGCTTTCTTGTAATAGATCTTTTAGGGTGGGGTTGCCCTCTACCCTCGACCCGTAGTATGTATTATTTTTTCGTGTTTTATCTATAAGCTTTGTTTCCTATAAAAAAAGAAAAGAAAACCGAGGGAGACCTACTTTAGTTTTATGCTATTATACTGCAAATTTACATGTTACCCATATTTCTTTTCCCATCTTGTTTTCTTATTGAACTTCCCATATATTTATCTGTCCATCTTGTTTTCATTTGATCTTTTTTCACAGGAACCTTGTCTACTATCACATATTCGCATCTACAATAAATCTGTCCTTGAATGGGAAATTGCAGCTGGTTTGCGATACAAGGTTTTCCTTATGTGTAATTGGAGTTTAGATTTTCAGATTTATCTCTTGTACATTACATTTGCCAAAATAAAGAAAATTGTGCCAATTTATTTTGTATGATATCTCACTTTTTATATGAATTATCAGTTGTTAAATTCTGCTAAGGATTTGTAATATACTTATCGGAGTGTCTTCATGTCTAACAAAAATTTATTTTCTACAAATATTTCAATTCATTTGTTGAAAGATAAATATTCTATGCCAAATAATTTTCATTTTATACATATAATTGACATTTAGTGTTGTAAGTCAAAGTGTTATGACATACCATCTGGACTGTTATATTTGTTTTAATGAGAAAACAAAACATGGATCTTAACCTGCAAGAGTTTAAAACTGTACTTTGTATCCTCTTAGATAATTTAGTTTATGGAGTAGGTCAGTATAGAAAAAACTAATGGATTATCTGGCTTAAATATCTTGGTCTCTCAATTATCATTTGTAAAACAAGTCCTTTCAATACTAATTAGTTTCTTAACATGATTTTGAAATTTGAGACATAAACCCATATCCTTCTTTCAAATACATGAATTGAAGAAGTGATTCACTTCAATTTCGCTTGCATTACATGTATTTTTGAAGTTTTAGTATGCAGTTTTTGGATAATAGACAAAGCCTTGATTATATTCTTGCTATGATTTGTACTTGTTTACCAGCCAGAGACATTTGTGAAAGTTCGATCGCGTTGTGAAGCACCTCGACGAGACATGATCTACCCTATGAACTACACTCCATGTCGCTATGTAAAAATATCTTGTCTGCGTGGAAATCCAATAGCTGTGTTTTTTGTTCAGGTATAATTTGAGAACTCTATTTCCCACTTAAAATATTGCTATAAAATCAATTAATTCTATAAGATAGGGATATTGATGAAATTAGATAGAGATTAATCATTTGTTCCAAAAAAAGAAGACGAAAGGGATTAATAAGGTGATTTGCTGTATGAACTTGATATATATCTGTTTGTTGAATTAGTTGGTTAATTAGTTTGCTGGAGTGTTTTACATTTTTATGTCAATAATTACTTAAACAGGCTCCCCTGGGTACAGGGGAGCAAAGCTTCGACTCCCCGTTATCAAAAAAAAAAATAAATAAATAAAAACCTTAAACAGAAGCACCTATAAATATGTTATTTTTCCGCATAATAATAATGATAATAATAATTTGAAGTGGAGAGGCGGTAATATCTGTTTAATGTTCTAAGCTTTATGCCTCCAAACCATAATAACTGTTATAATTTTGCAGCTGATTGGTGTTCCAGTGGCTGGTTTGGAGCCAGAGTTCCAACCAGTTGTGAATCACTTGTTGCCACATATTATATCACACAGGCAAGATGGTGATGATATGCATCTTCAGGTACTGAAGTCCTCAATCTTTCTTAGTTGCATCATGTTGTACCTCATGCTATTCATGAAAGTCTGATTTCTTATTAAAAAAACCGTTCTGTTTACTTTGTAGTTGCTTCAAGACATGACAGTCAGGTTATTTCCATTTCTTCCACAACTTGAGGTATTTATTTGGTTTATATTTAAAATGTATCTGTGGGATTATCCCATTGTCTATCTGAGTTTTCATGCTATTCTCCCATAGTCTCCTTCATTGTAAATATTAGTTTTTTTTTTTATTCATAGAGGAGTATTTAAGTTGATCATTGTGCAGACAGATCTTGTGGGATTTTCAGATGCTCCCGATCTTAACTTGCGTTTTCTCGCAATGCTTGCTGGTCCATTCTATCCAATACTACACCTTGTGAATGAGAGGTTAGGCTATCTTGCTTGCTATATCTCATGCTTCACGTGTCATGTCGTGTCAGTTTGTACAAAGCATTTTCACTTCAGAGGTTGCGATTTATGCATCATTTCTGTTTCTTGGTGCATTGAGGGAAACAATTCCTTTTATTTTAAGTATCTAGAATCAGATATTCTGCTGATATGTTTTATGCTGCAGAGCAGCATCGAAGTCTACTGGAAATGGAACTGAAATTGAAGCTTCTAAGACTTATCAGACGTCTTCACCACTGACCGTTTCGTCGAATTTTGAGGTTTTTACATGCCCTTTCCTTTTCTTTTCTTCTCTTTATGTTTTTGTGTTTCTGCTTTCTGCCAAAAGTAAAAACTGTTTTGTCAAACTTTCCTAAAAGAGTTCTGTTAATTATTCTTTTTCTTTGAAGAAGATGGCTAGTGACATATCAATTTTTTTCTGCTTAAATGCAGCCACAGAAGTCGCGCAGTATATTACCTGTGGTCCCATCTACATCAAGCTGTATAGTATTTCGCCCCGATGCAATTTTCATGCTGTTGAGAATGGCTTACAAAGATTCTACATTTGGTGCTATATGCAGAGTGGTAAATTTATTTCCACTTCAGTGAGTTCTATCACAGTTAACCTTCAAGTTCTGAATGCTAACTTTTTCTGATTTGTCTTTCTCCTTTATCAGGCTTCTAGAATACTGCTGAAGCTCGTCGAACCGGTTGCATTGCAAGAACCTTCAGCATCCGCTGATGAAGCGGCTGTTTCCGACGAATTTTCAAAACCTGGCTCATCCGATCCCGTCTACGTAGCTGATTACTCAAAATTGTTCGGAGAAGATTTTGAAGTGCCTGTTGATAAATGGGATTTGAGTTATCTTAGCATATTGGATATTGGTGCAGTGGAAGAAGGCATTTTGCATATTCTCTTTGCTTGTGCATCTCAGGTTTGCTCGGACTAATAAGAATGTTGGAGTCTTTTATCAAATAATATCTATGCTTTAATTTTATTTGACTCATAAACTTTCATTTTTTTTGTACAATGTTCCCAGCCTACTATTTGCAATAAACTCGCAGAGAGGTCTGTTGACTTGTGGCTAGCTTTACCTCTTGTACAGGCACTGCTTCCAGGTTGAGATTGAAATATCATTTACACATATAAATAAATATATATATACAATTTAATCTTTCTATGAGATACAAAATGCAGCAAAAAATTTATAGAGCATACCCAATAACTTTCTTTCAGTTAATACAATGAATAATCAATCGCTCGTATTTTCATGCTAAAAAAATATATCTTAAGTTCATTTCTTAGATATATATTTTTAATTTATATGTATTCTTTTTCGCATTTTCTAGTCCTTCGTCCTCCTTTGAGCAGTCCCTTTGATGTGGTCAATGACATCTTTTCTTTATGGAAGCGGCCGGTGGTGCAACAGGCTCTCTCTCAGGTTTAGTTTGAAGTTAAAACAAGATTCGTCTTCTCTGTGATCGAAATGTGAATTTTCGTTTTACCTCTTTTTTTATATTTATATTTTCTTATTCTTTTATTCTGGTGTATTTGGTTGCAGATTGTAGAAACATTGTCATCACCATTATACCATCCACTTCTACATGCTTGTGCTGGCTATCTATCTTCGTTCTCTCAGTCACATGTTGGTTACTAAAATTCATTCTAATCATCAGCAAGATTACTCATTGATTCTTTACAAATTAAGATTATGGTTGAAAAGAAGAAGCCGACTAATTGAATAATAATTTTTTTGTACAAAAGCTATTGTATTCAAAATTAATCAGGCATTAAATTTCTTTCACAGGCTAAGGCTGGATGTGTTCTGATTGACTTATGTTCTTCTGTATTAGCGCCCTGGATGCCTCGTGTTATTGCGAAGGTAGGTTCATGCTGAAATCGAAAGCTCCCAGTTTCATTCCAAGTGTCATGCTGGCCTTTTCTTTTCTTTGTACTTGTCGTTTCGTTCTTGTAACTCACCATTTGGTTGATTTTGGTATAGGTTGATCTGGTTATCGAGCTTCTAGAAGATCTCTTGGGTGTCATCCAGGTGAAAATTCATTGATAATGTGTATAACTTGTAACATTCTAAGGTATTTATGCGAGGTCGCAAGATACGTTTTTAAAAAAGAACTAGTATTTGACACATTACTACAATTGAGAATTTGAGATAATTCATCTATTTAAATGGCAATATGGTCCTTGTGAGTTTGAAACATAAAATCTTGCTGATAATGGAAATTGAAGTGGAAGTAGAAATTGCTTCATATTTTATGACAAACTTACGATGATCATCTGTCTGCATGTCATGTCTTGCTTCTGTCTTATTTATTTTTTCAAACGATAAACTAATTTTATGAGTTAATTGGTCGGTTGCCAACTGTCTTAATGAAGCCAATGATGTATTTTTTCTAATTTTTTACCTCTTAGTACTCATTGCCTTCATAGTCATACATTTTAACATAAATATCATGTTTCAGAGTGCTCGACAATCCCTTGATCATGCTCGTGCTGCCTTAAAGTATATTCTGCTGGCCTTATCTGGTTATTTTGACGACGTACTTGGAAGCTACAAGGTATAAAGTTTGAGACCAACCTCACCTTAAGCTCTCCACCCAATTAGAAATATACTGAAGCTTTTTGTCACTTGTTATCTGGAAATTTTGTTATGGATTTGCTGAAATTTAGTTGTACTTTTTAAATTAAGAAATGAAAGAAACATCTGTTATAACCTTCGCCATCAGATAAATGATATGATATCTTTAAAAAAAGTTTATTTATTTTTCTAAATAATCAATATCTCACTGTGGAAGAGGTTTCTGAAGAAATCTTTTATGCTTCTTTCAGGAAGTAAAACATAAGATTCTTTTTCTTGTGGAGATGCTAGAGCCGTTTCTAGATCCTGCCATATGTGGGTCAAAGACCACCGTAGCTTTTGGAGATCTTTCCCCTGTTTTTCCTCAAAAGTTGGAAAACAGTTGTCTGGTTGCTCTCAACGTCATCCGCTCAGCAGTAAAAAAGCCATCTGTTCTTCCTTCATTAGAATTTGAATGGATGCGTGGATCGGTTGCTCCTAGGTAATAAATGCTTGCTTTGTGCTTCTATTGAATGTAACTGTATAAAGGGGTAGAAAGGATTTGAGCAAATAAGGTAAAGCTGGCCTTTGAAGGGAAAGCGATAAATCGGAAAAATGAAAAAGTTCATACCTTATATTTTATATAGTCAATCATAAAATGGTACTTATCCTAAAAAGAAAAAAAAAATCGTAAAATGGTACTTCGGTGCAGTGTCGACTAGCAGGTTCCTTTAGCTTCATAAACAACACTGATTTTAACTGGGTGTATTTGACTGTTGTCATTTTTTTAACTGATGAAAAAGTTCAAAATTTTGTAAAAAATGAGAGTAGTGAGATTTGTAAAAAAGGAGTTTAAAAATATTTTAGATGTTTTTGAATATTCAACAATGTTTGATTTTGTAATTTCCAACCTTTCCAATTTACAGAATCATATTGGGACTGAAATGAACTTTTTTGCAGCGTGCTTCTCTCGGTTTTGCAACCTCATTTGCAGTTACCTCCTGAAGTTGACCTTCGGAAGTCGTCTGCTTCAAAACCTCTCAATCCGGATTCTTCTGTCAGTTATCATGGAGGAGTCTCTTCAAAATTAGTTGGCCCAAATGATTGTGAGGTGAAGATAGATGATCACGACACAGCCGGAAAATCTGATGTCTATGAAGATTCTATCCCTTTTTTTGTCCCTCCGGAATTGCGGTGTGAGCCTCTGGAAAATCGTTCTAGTTGCTTGAATGAAGGTAGCTTAATATCCACCCATAGAAATGTGAACATAGAGCCCAAAGAAATGGTTCGAGGGACCAATACCAATCGTTTTAGTGGAGAACTGGTGTTGGATTTTGGAAGTAATGTTGAATACTTCAACTTAGAAGCAGATTATCTTCTACTTGTAAACTATGGGGACTGTGAAGCAAAGGCTTCTGAATTTTGCCGTTTAGCTCTGGACCTCAGCTCACAAATTGAGATAACCTCTGAGGGTCATGATGCGGGCATAGATGCATTACTCTTGGCGGCGGAGTGCTATGTCAATCCATATTTTATGACATCTAGCAGATATAATTTGAACCAGATGAAACAGGTGAAAAGTAGTGAGAACATGGCGTCGGAAAGTAGCCCAACTTCAGGGCTCACTAGGCTTGCTGGCAAGAGTCAGGCTGACCTGGAAACAATAGCTCACCTTGAAAGAAAAAGAGACAAGGTCGTTCTTCAAATTTTACTGGAGGCTGCCGAATTGGATAGGAAATATCATCTAAATTTGTCTGATTCGGAATCTTGTCCATATAACAGTGAAGGATTAGATGAAAAAATGATCACGTTGTCGTCCAATGACATGCAGTCTGCGGATGCTGTGACCTTGGTACGACAAAATCAAGCTCTTCTATGCACTTTTGTCATTCGACTCTTACAAAGGAGGCCTAACTCAATGCATGAAATCCTTATGCAAAGTCTTCTATTTTTGTTGCACTCAGCCACTAAGCTATATTGTTGTCCTGAAGATGTTACTGATATCATTTTAGGATCAGCAGAGTTTCTAAATGGTTTGCTAACATCTTTGTATCATCAAATCAAAGATGGAAATTTACAGTTGGAACCGGAAATAATACACGGCACACAGAGACATTGGATACTTCTTCAGAAATTGGTACATGCAAGTAGTGGGGGTAATTATCCAACAGACTTCACATCGAGTGCCGGTAACGGTATTTGCTCCGGGAACTTGATTCCAGCTTCTGCGTGGATGCAGAGAATTTCTAAATTTTCTACTAGCCAATCTCCTTTGGCTCGATTTCTTGGTTGGATGGCAATATCTCGTAATGCAAAACAATATACGATGGACCATCTTTTTCTTGCATCAGATTTACCACAGTTGACAAGTTTGCTGCATATATTTGCTGATGAGCTTTCTGTAGTAGACAATATTTATAAGAAGCATGATGAATTTAAGATTGAAGAAACAGAGAACAGAAATGTTCCTATGGAGAATAAAGAATTTGGAACAGTTGAACAGTATGGCGGTCAATCATTTCACGTTATTTACCCTGACCTCAGCAAATTCTTCCCCAATATGAGAAATCACTTTGTAGCTTTTGGAGAAGTCATATTAGAGGCTGTTGGGTTGCAACTGAGATCGCTTTCCTCTAGTGTGCTGCCCGATATACTATGTTGGTTTTCCGACCTTTGTTCTTGGCCATTTTTCCGCAACGAAGTAACTTCTCATTCTAGCTCTCATTTCATTAAGGGTTATGTTTCAAAGAATGCAAAGTGCATTGTGCTTTATGTTCTCGAAGCCATTGTGAGTGAACACATGGAACCAATGGTTCCTGAGATCCCTCGGCTCATGCAAGTGCTAGTATCCCTTTGTGGGGCCACTTACTGCGACGTGCCATTTCTGAACTCTGTGGTGCTTTTGTTAAAGCCACTTATTTCATATTCTTTACAGAAGACATCTAATGATGAAAAGGTATTGGATGATGGTTCATGTACGAATTTCGAGTCTCTGTGCTTCAATGAACTTTTCGATAACATCAAGGAGAATGAGAGCAGAGATGAATCTCTTGGAAAAGTTTATAACAAAGCACTGTCTATCTTTGTATTGGCTTCCTTTTTTCCTGATTTCTCTTTTCGACTTAAGAGGGAAATATTGCAATCCTTAATTTCTTGGGTCGATTTTACCTCATCTCAACCAACTTCATATTTCCTAGATTACCTGTGTTCATTCCAAAAAGTTATGGAAAGTTGTAGAGGCTTACTACTTCAGAATTTACGAGCGTTTGGTGCTATCCCACTATATTTAACCGACCTTGATGATATGGGTTCTGGCGCACTTCTTGAAAAGAGCTCGGAATCACATATAGGGTTTATCTGTGATATTTTCAAGAACCCAGTATCTAATAGCAATTCTGAGAAGTTAGAGAGTAAGAATGAGGGCAATAGTACAGAAATGTTAGCTGAATTATCTGTGGAGGAAATAGGAGAATTTCATAGAGATTTAGGGGCCCTTATTTCCAAGCTTTTTTCCGCTATTGAGCACTGTTGGAATCTTCATCACCAACTGGCTAAAAATTTGATTGCGACAATGGCGGAGTGTTTAGTTTACTCACAATGCCTATCCTCAATAGTTCAGAATACTTCCAATGCTGAAAAGGAAGAGGGCGAAAATGCTACACAATCTAGAACGAGCAGTCAATTACTGGTTTATTTGAGAGCCGGTCTTAAAGGATTGGCCGAAACCGCCATAATGCTTGAAGAAGTAAGTTGCTGGGAAGCTGCATCTGTGATTATTGATTGCCTGCTTGGTCTGCCTCGTAATTTACACTTGGAAAACATTGGTTCTACTATTTGTTCCGCACTCAAGAACGTTTCTTGCAACGCCCCAAGGCTCACTTGGCGGCTGCAAACTCAAAAATGGTTGTCATCATTACTTGGAAGAGGCGTCTCCACCGGTAATGGAGATGAGGTTGCTCTAGTCGATATGTTTTGCACAATGCTGGGACATCCTGAACCCGAGCAGAGATACATAGCGCTTCAGCAGTTGGGTAATTTGGTTGGCATAGAAGTCTTTGATGGCACTGATACACAACAATATCCACAAATTAGTAGTAGTTTCACTTCAACTGGCTTGGAGGAATGTGTTTCTGAGTCTGTACTCTCTCATCTCGTTTCACATATATGGGATCAGGTGGCTTCTTTGGCAGCATCCGACTCGTCATTATATTTGAGGACTCGTGCAATGGCACTTCTTATAGCCTATATCCCATATGTTGGTCGGCACCGGTTACAATCCTTGCTAGCATCTGCAGATAGTATTCATGGCACCAAGGTTTTACATCCAGCATCTGAGGGCCCATTGCTACAGCTTTCACTGGCACTAATTTCCTCCGCTTGCCTCCATTCTCCGGTCGAAGACGTTTTTTTGATTCCTGAAAGTGTTTGGAGAAATATTGAGGCTTTGGGGTCATCAAAGACTGGTATTAAACCTTCACTACATTTGTCATTTGGTATAATACTTTCTTTTCAAATGTTATGAACCTGTTATTTCATTTTTTAGATGGCCGACTTGGAGAATTGGAGAGGAAGGCCTGCCAAGTCTTATGTCGATTGAGAAACGAAGGGGACGGAGCCAAAGAGGTATAATGACAATAAAGTTAAATGCACAGTTAGATATAACAATATTTACTGTCTTCCGCCCTTCGAAGCGCTCACATGCTTAGCCATCATCTTCCTTTGCTTAGATATAACAGTATTTACAAAAGTCTATATAGAATTCTTTGAAAGAGAGAAGAATAGTGAATGGTATATTCTGTTGCCTTTGTTACTAGTTATAAGATTTCCACTTGAGCAGAATGAAAGCATTATTTTTTACTATTGAGTATATGAAGTTCACCCAGTTACAATTTTTGTTATTGTTGGTTTTCTTCCTTTCTTATGTGGAAGGTCCTAAAAGAAGTGCTCTCTTCAAGTTCTCCAAAGCAATTTAACGAAGAGTTTCTAAGCATTCGGGAGTCGATTCTGCAGGTCAGGAGTAAAAAAGTTCAAAACTTTTTATAGCTTCTATCGTTTATCTGTATCTGGTTCACCTTTTATTAAATTCGCATTAGAAGTTTATCCCCTTTCAGCTTTTCTCACTTCTCTCTGCTCTTTTGCTTACTTGTGCTTAATTGCTCATCAGGTTCTTTCTAATATGACTTCAGTTCAGTCATATTTCGACGTATTCTCTCAAAAGAAGGACCAAGAAGCAATGGTAAGATTGGTTATTTTGTTGTCTTTTCATTACTACAGAGCTCATAATTGGAGTTATTTTGTTCGAGTATGTGTAGGAACTAGAGGAGGCTGAACTGGAACTCAACATCTGCCAAAAGGAGCTCAGACTTCCTGATTTGTCGAAAGATTCTAACAATTTTCTGGGAATCACTTGTATGTCATATTGATAGCGTTGCTTACTGATTTTATATTATCTGTTTTTCATTTTTATCGCAGTTGTTATGTTCTCGAGTTTCTGCACACTATCGTTTGAAAATGAAATTTTCTATCAAACTTTTCTGCCTCTGCAGCAGCTGATTCGCGTCTTCAGCAGATCAAAAACTCTATTTGTTCCATGTATGTAAATAAAATCTTCCTAGTCATTATTTATTACCTCTGTCATATGCTTTTCAATGTCAACTGGAATTCAAACTCTGTGTCTTTCATGTTTCAGAGAGAAATCAAAACTCCAAGAAGAAATAGCAGCTCGTCGGCAGAAACGACTTCTTATGAGACAGGCGCGACACAAATATCTAGAAGATGCTGCATTACATGAAGCTGAGCTTTTGCAAGAACTTGATAGGTTTGATCAGTGGCTAATTTTGCATTAAGTGGTACAATTTTAAACTGTCAAAGTTCTTTTTTTAGAGTCCACTGACAGTTGGCTACTTTAGGGAGAGAACAATTGAAATGGAAAAGGAAATTGAAAGACAGCGTTTGCTGGAGCTTGAGCGTGCAAAAACCAGGGAGCTGCGCTATAATCTCGATATGGAGAAGGAGAGGCAAATGCAGGTATTATTGGTTCTTCAATATTATAATACAATTTCAACCAGATTTTCTTACTTCTCGATCTCAAGGTCGGGTTCCTATATTTATGCATCCTCTTTGATTAATCTAGATATTAGGTCTTTTGATTAAATCCCTCCTTTTAACCTTTTCCTTTTATCTGTCATTTTTCATGATTCCATGATGCTTAAATTTAACTTATCCTGTCTGTTTGGTGTATAAAATGATATAAGACAACAATTTCTGATAAGTATGCATTTGATAACAGAGGGAGCTTCAGCGCGAACTGGAGCAGGCGGAATCAGGACCACGACCATCGAGACGCGAATTCTCTTCCTCTTCCCATAGTAGGTAGGTCGCAATATATGATGGTATCTATAGTCTTTTCTACCTTCTCATAACTTACCTTAAAGATGAGAGTTCAAATATAGCGTTGTATAGAACGTTCTCCGGAACATGTTTAGTCCAATACATCATCAAAAGAGCAAAAACTATCCAAGTTCAAAGACTAAATTAGTAATATAACTCAATTCTCATATCTGGACAAATTACGCATTTTGAAGATGTCCAGCCCAATATACTGAATCCATGAGGTGGCCTTTTTCCTCGCAGTCGACCTCGGGATAGATATCGCGAACGAGACAATGGCAGACCCAGCAATGAAGGGAATCCCAGAACAAGTGCCAGTGGCCTACAGCCCGAAACTTCTACTACCACCAGTTCCTCCATGTCAGGGGTACCGACCATTGTGCTTTCCGGGGCGAGGCAATATTCAGGACAGTTGCCTACGATCCTACAATCTCGTGAGCGTCCAGACGAATGCGGTAGTAGTTACGAAGAAAATGTAGACGGGAGCAGAGATTCCGGTGACACTGGAAGTGTTGGTGATCCAGAATTAGTTTCAATATTTGATGGACATTCAGCTCCACTTGGGTCTGCTCAAAGGCATGGATCTAGAGGCAGCAAGTCAAGGCAAGTAATAGAAAGAAGGGAAAGGGATGGTGGCAGACGTGAAGGCAAGTGGGAAAGAAAACATTCATGACCAACGGCTTGAGATTAGTAGATCGACTATCAACGGTGTTTCGAGGCAGCGGGCTGCTGGATCTCTACAGTTTAATGACGTGGCAGTCGGAGCGTTCCACAGGTTCGTTTCTAATAGCTCGCCATACATAATTGTAAACTTCAATGCTGTTGTATATTTTATGTTTCAAGAACTATTCTAAGTTTTTACCATCTGTACTGTGGGGCGAATTCAAGTTTATAGATTAGGATGTTAAAAGAGGATCTATTTCAGGCGATCAATCTAGACTAACTAGATTGAGTTGAACTAGACAGATCCTCATTCTTAATAGAGCGGGTGGGGCTCGTGTTTGGCAGGAGTAAGCTATTGTCGTGCGTGAACTATCAATGGAAGGAGAACGAGAGTGTCGATGGAACATCATTTCTTGAGGACTGCTCTATTCATTGTCCAGAAGCTCTCATCATATGTGGCATAAATCATCACGTGGGATCAAGATGGAAAGCTTCCTTGCTGCAAGATTTTAGGAGATCTCGATCAGAGATTTTAATTCGAGTGAAGACTAGTTATTTTGCCCTCGAACAGAACCATAATATGTTGTTCAAATTAGTACAGTTCTAGAATTTGGGATGAAATCAATAATTGAATTTGAATCTGTTTTTCCAAGGAAGATATGCTAGTTAGGAAGACAATCATTCAAATTATAATCACATCTATAAATGAGGAAAAGAAAGAAAACGAAAACAGAGTTTGAGGTTGCATTGTTTACATAAGAAACCGAGAGAATCAAAGCATAAGGAAATTAAAATACCAAACTTATTTTGCTAGGTTCAGATTCAAAACTCACTGTAACGATAACTATATATAAATCCGATGTGTTCGGTAGCGATTTCATCACTTCCATCTCTTGAATTTCATGAACTTGCCTCCATGCTTCCAGCGCTTGCCAAATTTCCCATGCTTAAACTTGCCATGTTTGAACTTGCCGTGACCGAATCCGAATGGGCGTGCATGAACTAGATGATGAGCACCGTAGGCAGCGGCTGCAGCAGCTGCTCCACCAGCCAACATTGCCCCCATGCCGTGTCCGTGGCCTGTAATCGAAAATCGATGATGATCCGTGGTTGGAATTCGTCAAAAACAATCAACAACTAGCTTCCTAATAAACTAGTCCCATATTTAATCATCAAATTAGCATTAGAACTCTTTTGCTTTATATAAATCAAAGAGTTGACAATCTCAAAATTTTTTATTATGTTCATGGTACACATCCACCAAGTCGTCTTAGGATGTTTTGTATTATATTCAGAGTCCAGAGATGTATTTTAAGTTATCAAGGCTTTGTTTAATAACAATCTCAGTTTCTGTTTTAAAAAAATTAGGCTTAGAAACACTAGTTTCACACCTAAGACATTTTATTTGTTATATATTTTTAAAAACATTTTAAAAATCTAAGCCAAATTTTGAAAATAAAAAATAAAAATAAAAAGTAAAACGCATTTTAAAAACTTTTTTTACCTGACCGCAAGATCGTTTCCGGTTTTAGGCCTTTTACTAGTTAGTTCCGGAAAAGCCTCCAGACGGAGTATTTTTCATAAACTTAGTTTTTATTTTTTAAATTTTTTAAATTTAGCTAAGAGTTTAAATATGTTTACAAATTAACTAATGAACGGGTAAAAAACAAGGATAATTTTTAAAAATTAAAAACAAAATGATTACCCAACTGTATTAACAAGTTACTAATCTAGAGTGGGTTTAATAAGTTACTAATCTAGGGTGGGTTTGAATCTACGACATTGGAGAGTATTCTCTAAAATAATAAAAAAATAAAAATAAATTCTTTATGATTAAGACACCATGCTATTAAATCATTAAAAAGAGATTATCAATTTAGAAAAGTCAATTAGAACAAACAGTAGAATGAGATAATAGATAATACCTGGGTGATGATGAGGGCCAGGGTAGCCAGCGGGAGGGTATCCGCCAGGATAGGGATACGCTGAAGGTGGGTGTCCACCGTGAGGATGATAGCCAGCCGGAGGATATCCGCCGGGAGGGGGATATCCAGCCGGAGGATACCCTCCCGGAGGAGGATATCCAGCTCCGGGATAGGGCGGTGGCGGTGGCGGATATCCATGGTTATGAGGGTAGTGGTGCCCTGCAGCAAACGCCCCCAAATGTGAAAACAGGCCTCTCTCATCACTGTCCTTCTCCTTCCCACCTCCCATTTTTCTTCAAGTTTCGACGACTAATCCAGACTATCAATAGATAATTGGAGCAAAAGATAATCATTTCAGCACATAATCTTAAAAGATAGGAAAAAAAATCAGAGAAGAAAGGGTAATAGAAACTTTAAGGCATAAATGAAAAACTGAAGAGGCTGATAGTGATATGCTAAGAAAGTTCTTGGTTTCCTCTGTTTCATTTATTGATTGAGGCAATTCGGGCAATTTGTAGTTGATCCCAAACCAAATCAACAGCAGCATAAAATTGAACTGAAAAAACAAACAACATTAACTAGGCACAAGATGCTTCTCTACAGTCTACACTATGATCAATTAAGTGAAGGAATTGATCATATTCACTCTTTTAATTTGAAGTTTAAGATCAATGATTTAGAGCCTGCAATAAAGTTGATCAACAACTCTAAACACCCCAACTTATAAGTTTGTTTGTCTACCATGGTGATAAATAAAGTCCCCAACGAACACCGACAAACTTGCAGATGAAATGATCGGGGAAAAAAGGAAAAAAAGAAACCCTATCGCTCGATCGATTTGCAGAGAGTAGTAAAAAAATTCCGGAGAAAAGAAGAGCATGCGAGTGAAATTCTGATGAGAAGGATCACAAACAAAAATGAACACGCATCTAAATATATGTTGAATAATGACAATCAGAAGCTGTAATCCTTAACAACAGTTCGCAAACAGAGAAAAATCCGACAAGAAGCAGTAACAAAACGAGAAAAGGAAGGAAGGTTTGCGATCCAACACAGCCATCAAAGTAAAGGGAAAAAATCAAAGAGCAAGAAGAAAAATAAGCGAGAGGGAGAGAGAGATTGCTTACGAAACGAAGAAGATTATTGGCGAGCTCCGTAGAAACGGCGATTTAGGAGAAATATGAATTATGAATAACACATTGCCCTTCTCTCATTCATTTTTATACCATTTGATTGAAGCATCTCGCGCGCGTTGGCGTTGCTTTCACGCGTCCTACTCCATTATTTATTTATTTTTTTCCGATTTTCGTTTTTTTAAATTCAACATTTAGTGTGAATGCAAATTTAAACCTCCATTTTTTCATCGAAAATAAATACTTAATTATGCTAAAGTTGGATGATCGGATGAATTCTTCTTGTTCCTATTTAGTCTCATATTTTTATTTTTACGTCTATTTCTTTCTCGTTTTTCTCCATTTCCTCAGGTATTCTATCTGAATAATAAGTACAGGTAATAAATAAGAGAATAATAAAGATTCGAGCCATATGATTTCTCAATTCTGACATAAGGTACTCATTAGATCTAATAAAATGATACATGCTAATATCAATCTAACTCATTTCATGAATAAAATGCGATCAATTAACCAACCAACAAAACTTGGTACAGATAACATATTGTTGTTGCATCGAAACATATAAATGTTGACTAATCTGACTAATATTGAACTTGATAAAATGAAATGATTGAATAATTGAAAAATGAGATTCGAACTTTCACTTTCTTATTTCAATAAATAATAATGTTTATTATCGTTTTACAACTTGATCATAGTTTAACCAATATGACGTGTATTCTCAACCAATACTTCTTAAATTTAAATTTCCGGGATTGAATAATAATAATAATAGTGTTAATCTTACCTTTCCACCTCTCTACCTTCTCTCTACAATTATGCTTACGATTTTTTTTTCATTAAATAAGAAGTGGGTGAATAAATGCCTTAAAAAACAATTGTATATTGACAATATATTATTCGTTATTCTACTCTAGCAATTTGTAGCGACCAAAAAAAAATAGTTATATGCTTATAAATTATCATATAATAGAGCCATAACAATGTCCATCATTCGTGTGAAAAAATTAATAATAATTGTTACGGAAAATATTCAAATTTTATGGTAGCTGCCTATTAAATATGTATTAAAATTCTATGAATTTTTTAATATACCATGTGGAATTGGGGATCGAACTCACAACCTCTCAATTAAAAATATATATCAATTATCGCTGAGCTAGGTTGATTTTGGTATTATATGACATATAAAAAAAAGTTATATAAAATTTAGATTTATTTGCCTCTATTTAATATTTTTTTTCAAATAAATGGATGTTGTTTATAGAAAAAAAAAGGAATATGTATTAAGCTGAGGAACAAAATTAGAGGAAATTCCAAGTAATTTTACCATCTAATTTTCTATATTTGACTTAAAGACATTATAGTAAAATATGCAGTAATTTTGCATGAATCTGGCAGCCTAAACACGTAATTATTTAACCTTAAATGTTAAGGAACATATAATATAATATATATATCAAATAATTGGAAATTAAGAGAAACTTCCAAAGAAAATAAAATATAGAATTTTATGGGCCTTTGGACCATAATTTGACCACGGCTTTTTGTTGGCGTCAGGTGGGAACAAAGCGGATTAGATTAGATAGTCATGGAGGCGGGTGGGACCCACATATCTTTATTTTATACGCTTACTTTGCCATTAATATTAGGAAACAGAAATTACGCGGAAAACGATTTTATTTTCGGTTGTTTTATTTTCTAAAATATATTTTTTTAAATATACGTTTTCTAGTTTTTTTACGGCAAAATCTTTCTAGCCTTCGAATTTCTTTCCTTATTTCACGGAAAAGATTATAAGGTGAAAAGATTCATTGCCATATTTATAAATTTTCTACACCAAAAAATAATTTATAAATTTGATCATTATTTTTCTGGTATATTATTGCTATACTATTTTCATATAAATAATAATTTAATTTTTTTGACATTTCCCCTCTAAATATTTGTAGAAGCTACCTAAGACAAAATTCGCCTATAGCACAAAATATTTGTGTTTCAGAAAAAAAAAACACAGAATATTTAATCTAGGATTGGATCAAAACATATAATAATTTGGAAAATTAATTAAACAAACCACCATTTTATATTTCTTTGTAATATAAAATAACTCCCTACTTTTTCTTATATGATTTAATACATGAAATGTTTTGAAGTGTATACTATATTTGAAAATACATTATTATTTTGTATTATTATTATTTTATATTGTTTTTGTAATATCGTCTCAAGGTATCCTATTATATTGCTTTATTATATTATAACAAAGACGTGAAATGAATAATTATTTATGAAAAAATATTTAGGTGTTAAAAAGTTAACGTGATATCTCTTTAAAAAAAAAGCTAACAAATTTTTAAATTACTACGAATAAATTAGTATCTGAGTATCATTTTCACAACGAACACCAAAAACAAAACATAGCATAACCTAAATAGAAGCAAAGATATAACGTTTTCGTAAATAAATAACCCAAATTGATCCTAAGTAATGCTCCCAAGTTTTGGAGTACACAACCATTGAAATTGAACTAAAACAAAAACAATATCCATAGCATAAATACTAATTAATAACTCAACAAAATTTAGAAAAATATATATATAATTTAAGAAAAATGTAGAAAAAGAAATATTTTTCATTTTTCAAGAAGTGAAGAATTGTCAAATTTTTTTTAGTAGTGTGGTGGACAGTAAAATATAATAATCAAATATAAACTCGACAACGCAAACAACGGAGTAAGTGAAGTTCACCCAGCAAGCCACTCTTCACACCCACCGGCACATCACATCTCACTCCCACATCAGTTTTTATTACCCCATCTTCCCATCTTAGTGTTCCAAGCAACTGCACACTCACCATTATTATAGTACCACCAACTTTCTCGGTCCTTGCCAACTCGTCTGCCCCCTCAGACGACACCGGCACCGCCTCCTCGCCACTGAGAACCAGCGACATCACCGTGCTGCTCTGCCTCCCCAAAGTCAACGGAGGCAATACTTGTGGCGTCGTTATATTCATGCTCATGTACCACACGGTGGCGGTCAACCCGTCAGAGTGAAAGGAAAATTGCCCACTGGGGTTCATAACGAGGACGGTGAAGTTCGCGGTGGAAAACAAGAGGTGCGGAGGAGATGTCATGTTGAAGCCGTACATGACACCGTCGACGACCGTGAACCGTGGGCCGACGAAGCGGTAGACGGTCGGAGGAACAACAACAGCAATGATTATGACTAATATGATGATTATGAAGAAGAAGAAGATGCAAGTGCCGAGAGATTTGGCCTTGCTTTTGTTGTGATCATCTTCTTCTTCTGCCATAGTTTTGGAGTTTGATACCAAGAGGGAATGGGACAAGAATATATATACATATATATAGGAAGGATTAATATATGCTTTTAATGGTAAAAATTCAAATGGAATGCAAATGTAGGAAGGGGGAAAATAAATCTTTCCAATATACCACCATAAATAACATATTCATTTTTTTCCTTTAGAGAATAGGGTTGGAGCAATGATAAATATCTTATTTTTTCATTTTTTAAAATATTTATTTCTCTTTTCGATTATTTTGATAGTCGATTTCCCCCCGCCTTTCGAGGAGCTTGCCATACACGCTCTTTCCAGCCCCTCGCTTGCCATATACATTCAATGTTTTGTTATTAGATGATTTTCTAATGAAAATTTTTTAAACAATTAAATATAAAATCCAACTCTCACTAGTTAATTAACAAAAGCAAAATCACAAAAAAGTTATTAAAAAGGAAACATCGAACAATATTTCTAATTCGATATGTTATTCAATTATTCCTTGATGGGAATCATATCGACCGCATTTAAAAATTATTTTCTGAAGAAAATAATAAAAAAAGTAATCATTAAAAAAATAAATAAATAAACAATAGTGGAAATTATACTTAGTAGAGAAGTATTTTCTGAAGAGAAGTCACGAAATTAGCAAATTTATCGCTTTTTTATAATAATCATAATTATTGTTTGGATCGGCCGGTGGTAAAAAAAGTGTAGAAATTGCATTTTAATTGAGTTAAATTGTATTACATTTATATGGGTGGCTGTCAGATCTCAGATTCTTGTATCCCATAAAATTTTAACATAATTTCCTTCCAAACAAAAAATACTTTAATATAAAATTAGGGCTACAATTCAATAAATTTTTTATTAGATATAGTATCATATAGAAATTGTGGTCGAAAAAAATTGAGATAAAAGAGAATGTAAACTAAATGGTCTCTTTTTAAAACATTTTAATTTACAGTGAGACAAAAATGGACAAAATCTAAAAGTACAATAATCAAAATAAACATTTTTAAAAAATAGAGAACAAAAAAGTAAAAGTATAAAGACTAAAATAAATAATATTTAAATATATTTTATCTTTTCAAATACAACACATGAACTATATTTGGGAGGTTCGAATTCATGACTTCCTGATAAGACTATTCTTCCTTACACAATAAGAAATAAGAAATAATTCAAATGCCCATATTTATATTATTATTATTCAGAGCAAGCCAACCATTCACACATCCATTCGAAAAAATAGAGATTACTGATTGATTGTATGTTTAAGGACCAAACTATATTTTAATTGAAATATTATAAAAGATTTCTATTTTATTATTTTCATAAATATGTAATAAATTTATTTGAAGAAAATATTTCATAATTTCCTAACAATAAGAGTAGATAGATGGCCTCAAAAGATAAACCAGTAAATACTGACTAAAATGCAAACAGATTACCATTAAACAATCTATCTAGTTACTCTTCAGTTATTCTTTTGTCATGTAAACTTTTGATACATTCTTCTATAAATTTTCGCACCTTCGGATTCGGCATGAATTTCTCTTTCGGTCCTTATTCCCATTGGATTGTTCAACAACCATCCATCTTCGTCACACAAAACACTCGGGTCGAGCACATCGATGTGTTTTAGAACATCGGCTTCAGAATCGAACCAAAGCCTCATGTCGACTGCCACTTCAAGAACATCAGATTGTATGAGCACCTGTAGAATCTCATAAAGAAGAGAAGTTCCAACATCAGACTCATCAAGTTGCATTGATCTCAAAAGAAAACAGCATCAGATTGCATCAAGTTCAAAGAACAGAGAGCCAAACTTTCAATGTAATGGATGAATTACAAGATCATATACCTGCCCTCCAGGAGTTAAACTGTCTACTATAGATTCTACTAAAGGCTTCTGCACAACCCTTCGCTTGTGATGCCGTTTCTTGAAATGGGGATCTGGGCACTGAGATTAAACGTGAGCGAGTTCTTTCTTTGTCGATAATTATCGGATCAGATCAACGGTAACCGAAAAAAATATGTTGATCTAGTGTGTTACACTAACCAGTATGGAAACCAGCATCAGGGGTCCAGGATAGGAAGATATGATCTGTTTAAAGGAAATTGTAGCATTTGCAAACATGAAATGTCTGCATTCAAGTTTTGAAAAAGTTCATTACTAATGCACCAGTAGTATAAAGGAGGTTGTTTTTCACTACCTGATATGAAGTTAAGGTCCTTACACGTTGCTAAGTCCCAACTCTTTGACCCAGATATCGGCACGCTTGACCAGCTGCAAGAGCACAAAAGGAACCAAACCACAATATAAGGCCTAGACAGAATGAAAATCAGATAGTTCAAACCAACTAAGGGTGCGTCAAAAGTGAAAATTTTTGGTTGCATACTTTATGTCGTATTTCCAGACCCAAGAAATTTCTCATATCAAGATGTCTTTTTGCAAGCCAAAGGAGAAATCTGCCACTACCTGGGAGTAATAATACATGTTTAGATTCTTAATGGACAAAAAAGCATAAAACAGCCTCATAAATCCCACAAGAAGCATGTAATGAGGCTAATTAAACCAATGTTGGGAGGTAATCAAGGTTTTGAACATTTTTAAAAGTAATGACCTATCGTAGATCATTACAGCATATCAGACAGATAATTTTCTTGCATGTGAATACATACTTTTTGATATGCAACGAGCATTTGAAACCTTACTATCACTACGAACACTGTAAATCCTTCGGGTCAACTTAGGGGACTGACATTTTTATTAGCATTTACTGGCTAGCACCAACATATAGAAGTCATGAGGGGTAGCTCATAGCTGCTATTGCTCAGAGTTTTTTGCTCCGCATGTACTGTATTGATTTCATAACTATAGCTGCTTTATTATGCATGTCAAGTTTAATTTTGAGTTACAGTGCAAGGTAAAGTAGATTAGTGAATGCACTAATCAATATGTTACTTGCGAATGATATTTCATTCTTCAGACATTAACCGTTGTTAAATACAATTTTTTCACCAGCCAGATTACCCTTTTATTTACTCAGTTTGTACGTCTTATTCAAAGCAGCAGCAGCAGCTTTGAAGATTTGTTCATGACTGTCTTCCATTCAAAGCAGGAGGCTAAAAGATAAAAAGACAATGACAATAGTAATCATCCTGGGTTGACTTAGTAATCAAAGGCAAAAGGTAGAAGGATTTTAGGAATATGGGCTCAGCCAAATGTTATATAAGATGGACAGTTATCTCGTGAAATTTGTTAAAGTACATATAAACTAGCTCGGATGCTAAAAAATAAGGCAATTATGGAGAAAACAGGTATGTCAGAGGTCTGTATAATATGAACTGAGAAAACTCGCTCACCACTTCCTATATCGACCATGAGGGGTAATGTGGGATCCTTGAAGACTTCGTTCCAATTAGGTGCTGGTGCAGGGACCTGAAAGGTAAAAGATGGGGAACCTTCCTTTAAGCCACCAACACTCAACTAAATTTCAAAGCCATAGTTCCAAAGTTCAAATTACATACAGCGAAAGAAGAGCTGAGAGGGTTAACGTGCTGTCTGATTCTAACGTGACCCGAATCCTGCAATTACCAAATTCAAGTCAAATGCACATCAATTCTAATTATCACCACTTTCTACTTCGAGATGAAATTGCAATTTCAGAAATTAGGGGCAAAATTCGTGAACAGAGAACAAACCTCGAAGATCCTGTGAGGGAGATTAAGGTCGGCATATTCCAACGCCACGAGTTCCGGACTCCGGAGATGTTGCGGCTCGAAAACCTCGGCGGAAGGGCCCAATCTTACACAGAAGCTATGGAGAAATGGTCGTCTGAGCCTGAGGAACGGAGACAATGTTCTATTTGCGGTTGCGACGCTCGACGGCGCCGCCGCCTTAGCAGCAGCAATGCAACCGAGCTGCGAGCAAGTGTGTAACTGGAAGCAAAGGGACGGCGCCATTTTTGCCGCGCCCGCTGAGCTCTCAAGAATGGCGCTGCTTCTATCTATTTTTCCTCTTTCTTCCAATTTCGTGTGGTTTAAATTTTACCTTTTTCCCCTGCATTTTTATCAATTTCGTCTGTATACTTTAAAAAATCTTAATTTTGTTTATCTATTTAACTTTAACTATCTTATGGCAACATAATGTTATTCTAATCATGTATTCAATTTTTATCGAATTTTTTTATATGTCCATATATTCGAAAAATGAGAAACGCTACATTTTCATAGTATTGTACAATAATCTACGAATTATAAACATGATATAATAATAACTTTTTCAGATGAGTGGAGTATATCTTTTAGGTTAAGCATTTTTTTTTTAATCATCTCATGCTTAAATTATTTAGATAATCCTCTTATTTAAAAAAAATATATATTTTTAAGTAGTTTAATTATTTTAAAATATTTTTATTTATTACTAAATACTGCATATTGAAAAAATTACTTCATATTAAAAAAAATTGTTATCTCAAATCAGTTAGACACGTTCTTAGTAATTCTTTCGAAAGTATTTGTAGAAAAGAAAAGTTATATTTTATAAACATTTTTTTCAAAAGTCATCCTAAACATGTGGAAAACGGCAAAATAGTTATTTATTAATTAGAATATTCTTATGAATTTTTTTTATTTATATGATTTTCCTAAAGATTTATAGAAATCGACATTTTATCTATATTTTCATTGATATTTTCATAAAACTGAGAGTCATGTTAAATGTGTTTTTTCTTTTTCTTTTTCTTTCTTCTTTTTTGACATCAATTTAAATGTTGACATAATACACCCTTTTTTCTTTTTCTTTTTCTTTCTTCTTTTTTCTTTTTTGACATCACTTTAAATGTTGACATAATACACACGAAGCTAACTTTCGACGAGTCCTCTTCCAATTTCGATTATTCATAAAATTTTATTCAATCAAACTTTTGTTATGCATTTAACATAATTATGAGATTATTTATTTTCAAACTCAATACCAAAAATCTTGAACATGAGATGAGATATACAACATAAATTCACATGATATCATATTACAAATGTGTTTAAAATGCACTTAAGAAATTCCATTGAAAAGAACTTGAACAATGTTTAGAAACAAAATATAACATTTGACAAAAGAACATTTAAAATTCAAAGAACAATAATGGCATTTGAATCTAAAATAAAATAGGCAAATGCTCTACTTCCATGAACCAAGAGGAGTATTGTAGAAAAGAAAACAGAAAAAAGCTAAGGCTTGTGAAGAAAATGGAAGCCATCTAATTTGGTGCTTTCTTTTTTACAAAATGCCCAACAAGAAAACTTACCAGACCATCATCACATTGAAGTAAATAAAACCTAAAAGAAAATGCACCATTGAGAAGAAGTTGATCAATATTGCCTTAAAAACATCAGCCAAACAAGGCTATCTATCAACAACCAGAAGGATTTGGAAGATAAAAGCCTCAAAATGTACTGGAATTTGATCTCCCTCATCACCTGCATTGATCAGTTCTTCACAAAATGGCGAGCGAGCAATTTTCCGATCTCCAAGAAACCAACCTTTTCTCTTCCTTCGAATATGGCTTTAAGTTTATCGTCGCAGTAGATCTCTCTCTTGTTAGCAGGGTTCTGCAGGCAAAGACGATGACAATATCTCACTAAGCCATAGATTGGACAACAGAAATTCTCACATTATCAACTAAAAATGCAATGTAGAGCTCTTGACTCTTGAAACTTGATGAAAAGTTGAAAACTATGGGTACTTATGCGTGCAGTTCAACAAATTCCAACACCAAATTCGTATGATATTTAGTATCTTCAAGCTTATGTTAACCCTTGGCTTAACTGCCATGCTCATAAATTCATTACAGAAGACAGGGGGTGGTCACATCTCAGTGATTGGTACTGAATATTTGTGAAATTAAAATAGCAATTTAAACAATCAAAGCAATACTAGACAGGCCCTTCATCAAATAATTTAGACCTTGCAAGAGTGAGTGTTCTCAGTGAAAGATGAAGAGGAATTTTAGGAGTTATCAGCTAGATATTCCAAGTTTAGCAGACACTAGAAGATTTTCAATTCCAAAGGAGTTATCAGCTTTGATTTTTAAGAGAGAATGACGGAAGATTTCATTCAGAACAGCTTCATAGGGAAATTACCAGTCTAAACGCCAGAACAATAGGCCATTAGAAAATTTTGATAAGCTCCCACGTTGTAATGAAGACTTCCCATGGAGTTCCCAGCTCTTTTTCGAGGTAAGAACGTCTATTAAGAGACGCCATTGTTAAGCTTTTTGCGCCTTCATTCCGAAATTGCTGCGAACTCTTAATCCGGGACAAGGCAATGTCTCGTTTTCCATACAAATACACGAGTTCCTAAGTTTACTTGCAGGGTAGGGGAAGGGAAAATGGGAAGCACCGGGAACTAGTTTATTTATTTACTTGAGATAAAATTTCTCTTTATATTACCCTAAAATCATTAGACCGACCAAATTACCCAACAAAAATCGCAGATAACAACCAATTTCCCAGAAAATGTCAGTGATTCTCGCCTGCTCAACACTCTATGCGATCAAATTCATAAATAGCAGTGGAAAGAGTGTGGAACCTGAAGGTTATGGAGCTTGATGTAGGACCAGATCTGCTTGACGGCATCGGTGCGAGATGCCTCCGGTACGCCCAAGAAGTTGCCCAACGCCGGAGAAACCTGGGCGACCTTCAGAATCCCCGCCGGCCGAGTCATTTCCCTTTTGATTTTCGGCTTGGGCGCGGCTGCAGCGGCAGTATCGGAGCTCGGTGCAGTCTTCTCCTTCGACTCCGACTTCGGTTTCCCTGTCGCCTTCGATTTGGCGGCGGCGGCGGCGGGAACGGAAGCTGAGGATTTCGACGGAGCTAAGAGGGCTCTACAGCCTCTGAAAACCCTAATGCCATTGCTCAATCCGGACGACATTGTGGCGTTGGTCGGATGTTTCGGCCGCTTCCGGCGGAGGGAGGCTTCGGCGAGGAGAATAATCGAAGAGAGAAACTCGCCGAAAAGGAAGAGGGCAATTCGCTCCGAAGTCCAAAACGCAGCATTTGGACAGCCGTTGGTCTACCTGCCGTATGTAGAGATTTTTTTTTTTTCAATTTTGTGCCAGTCCTTTTATTTTTTTCTCTAACTTTTATTGAAATATCCACAACATCGATATTTCCATAAAATTTAGACATCGATATCGACATTTAAACTCTTTTATGTATCGCGTGAAATTGTCTATGTTTTTAATCAGTTTTGTTTTATAAATTTTAAAAGCTTTACTTACAATCTTACGCTCTAATTAGATATAGATGTCTTTATATCAAAAAATAATAATAATAGATAGATACATGTGCTTTGACAAATGGACCTATACTATGTCTTATGACTTTTCTTTCTTTTTTTTTTATACAAATGCATAATTAATTGAGCTTCAATCTAGTTAGTTATTTTATTTTGTGGTTCCAACAACCACATTGCATGATTATCAACAATAAATATGTTTCAATAATTAAAGCATTGCTAACCTAAATATAACTGAATAAATTAAGAGGCCTATATCTTATTAGAAAGTCATGAATTGAAATCTATCACCTTAATATATGTGTGTATATGTATAAAATATCAATACATATATGAACATTAAAAGCATAAGTATAACAACTTCTCATAAAAGTCAACAATTATAATATTAACCACATAATTGCAATATTGTATTTACGGATAAAAACATACTCTATCATCTTATAGTATGACCAGTTGTTAATCAATATATACGTTTTTTTATAAATAATTTTATTATGTTAACATCTATATTAATACAAGCATTCTTCATTCTTTTTTATCTTACGATTAAAAGAAAAAAAAATGAAGTAGGATTATAAGTGGTGGAAGAGGGTTACTAACCCATCGATATACACCACTATTTTTATCTTTTTTTTTTTTTTGGATACACCACTATTTTTATTTGTTATCATTATTCTTTTAAGTTTAATTGGAGATCAACAGTTGCATTATATAAAATTAAAATTCTATCTCATACATTTTTGTATTTCTTATTGTGAGTTCAGTAATATGTATAAATGATAATTCAAATATTTTTATCGAAAATATATGCTTCAATCAATCAAACCCTACTCTATATTTTTTAAACCAATAACAAACCAAAAAAATCAATTTTAATTAAAGTTTAATTGTAATAAATTTGTTAAAGAACAAAAAGGGGAAAAAAGAAAAGGAATAATAACGAAACGAAGAGCGGCGGGTTGAGGCCTGAGGGTTAAAGCCTCGTCGAGGCCACTCTCAGCGGGAAAGGCGAGAGCAAATGGAGGGAAAATTCAAGTCTCTTTCAATGGTGGGAGCTGGAGCTCTCTTCGGTTCGGTTTCTACTTTCTTCATCCTCAAGCTTCTTCACAGGCAAGTTTACCACTCCAGTCACTTCACTCTCATGCTGTTTATTCCATTTCCGTTTCATCGATCACATTCGCATGCTGTATCTGGACTTGGAGCTCGAGTAAAACTCGGAGAAAATGGAAACTAGTAGCACAGATAGTCTTCTAGCGCAAGCCAGCGAAGATGGTAGTTTCTCGAAGCGATACTGACAACTGGTTATTAATTTTGCAGACGGATCGCGAACGTAGCTGAATCGAAGGCAAACAAGCTGCGTGGTAAGTAATAATCGGAGTAAATACTGAACTTCCATCCCATGGCGTATGGCATTTGATAAATTATATGATTATTCAAAGGAAAACTTAGCTAAACACTACGATTTCTGTAGTATGGCACGAAGTTCGTCTATGGTTGATTCATGCTTCAGTTTTTTGCGCTATTTTTGTGCACGATGTTGTCAAAGTTTTAGTGAATTTTGACTTATTATCCGTTAGCACAAGTAGATTACAAGAGTCGCGTTAATGTTGGAGACAGTTAAACGATTTGTTAAATAACGTATGTATTGGTTACAATTAGTGATTACAATCGGCTTCATCTTCTACGTGATTTGATCATTCAATTATACGTTTGAGAAGAGCTCTGATAGTATAGTGTTGAAGTATTCAGTTTGCATTTGGACAAATGAACAATGGGGGTGGCGGTAGCACTTAGCAGTAGACGTTTCAACTTTATTTTTTTTTTAAAGAGGAAATAAAACTTCCATTAAAAACACTGTACCCAAATGTTTTATAGGTTCTGGGCCGTGAGCATCTGATGGCTCTGATTTACGGTGCAAAGATTTCTTTCTCAGTTGCTCCGAATCCTTCTTTCCTCAACTTGTGTTCTATTCTCTTAGTCTTATTTTAATTCTTGCATTTTTTCGGAACTCTGGAAAGAAGTCCATATCATCATTGAAGTGCTCTTATATACTAGAACTGAAACATAGTAATTTTATTCTTGATTGAGATTCGTGGTCTCGCTTGTAGATCTTCTGGTGTCAGTGTATACATGAGAAATGACATCAAAGCTCATGCCTCAAAAAGTAGTTTTCCCTATTTCTATTGGAACTTACTCAAAGCAATGTTTTAGGGTGCTATTATTGATTATGCTGTCCCAATCATGATTCCTGGTTTTTACTTCTTGCGAATTTGTTTTATTAATAATTTAAAAGAAGATGATTCTTGTAATGATTTGCTGAAGGTAATGGACATATGGTTGAGACTGCTATAACTGGCGGTCCTATAGTTGGGTGCACCGATCATGGGATTTCTGACGTAGACCTTCTAAGTGATGAAATTGTTGCCGAACAACTAACAAGGTATTTTCATTTGATTTTGGAAAATTGATTTTTTTTATTATAGATTTTGATATGATTTTTGGGAATTTTTTGGTTTCTCAAGATTGTAAGTTCAGATTTCATTAAGATTCATCTTTTTTCTACTGGTTCTCTGATCTCTTTTCCTGCAACCATTTTCATAGAGGTTCATTTTGCAACTCATTTCGAGTTTTTCTTTTTGTTATCCTTGGTTAGATATATTTCTCAGTTAGCAAATTTATATTTTATGCTAAGCTTTGAACTTATCAATTTCTCTACATTTGAACAACAAAATTCCATGTTTCTTTGGTTTTATTTTGTGAAATGTGAATATTGAACTCTCTCTGTTAGTCATAGATCTATATACAGATGATTCATTAAAATTATTTTTTTCTTTTTAGTTTTTCACCTTGTCTAAAATCATGCATGATCCTAAAAAGGTTGTATATTAGTGTGCATATAATATAAATAATCTTAGATCATAGATATTTCTTATAGAGCGATCTTTAAGGGACCTCTCCGTTCGGAGAATTTGGTGTAGCGGAGCCAAAACTTTTTCAGATAAGTACAGAGATATGGAGAAAGTTTGGGATATTTGTGACCTTAAATAGGTGTACTCCTTAAATTTTTGAATTAGAGTTCCTTAATTTTATCTTAGCCAATTGGAGTCCCTTTTTGGAATCTCCCTCGTCTCTTTGTCTTCCGGACTCTTCTATATTTATGTGTACTATATATATATACACATATATTTTAAACGTTCATGTCATCATAACTTTGACCATTTTTTCAGATTGGAAATTATGCGTTCCTGGGTCTTTCGAAATCCTTATCCTTAATTGTGCTTCAGCTCGATAGGTATATGCTGTTTAGTTTTATCAATTTTAGAACTCTGGGAAGCCAATTCGAAACTGAGATTCCAGCATCCACTTCCACATTTCAGCAATGCTTAATGTTCTTTGCTTTGCTGTCATCAAGTGGTCTAGGATGAGGGAGGCACATAGGGATAGTTGTCCTTGTCCACCCACGTCCTCCCAAAATCTAATGGAAGCTCACTGACAACCTTGAAAATTGATCACTCTCTTCGATAATTGTTTTGRCATTTTGAGATAGAGAACCAAGGACTCTTGTTGGTGCTATGATAACAAGTGAGCATAGACCACCTTAAAAAGTGTCCCATATTTACATGCACTCCTTGGGGATTTATTTACCCTCCGCCTTTAGGTTGTCTCCCTTTTTGGGTTTCTTTGGTTTTGAATATACTCCTTTGGTTTCTTATAAAATAATAATAATACTAAATCACTAGTTTTGTCTTTGGCGTTCAGGTGTGATGTAGGTTGTTATTATTTAGGGTTCTATTTGTAATTATTTTTATTGTTTGTTTTATTTTTATTTTTTATTAGCATTTAGGTTAGATTAATTAAGCTTCTGTAGGTTACTATTGTCTAAACATAAAACAAAACTCGAGAGCCCATTCCTTTATATACCAGCTAGGCTCAATTTGTTAATTGAGATTAATAAAATAACTTAGGTTTTCCTTACCTCAACAAGGCATGTTTTATGTTTAGCATTAATCTGCTTTGCTTTTAAAATGTTATTTATATGCCCATTGTCATTAGGAACATTCAGTTCCTTGGCCTTAGCGCACAGAAGAATGTGACTGCATCTTATGTTGTGGTCATTGGTCTTGGTGGTGTTGGGAGCCACGCTGCTATGATGCTTCTACGATCAGGGGTTGGCAGGCTTCTTCTTGTTGACTTTGATCAGGTCTTATACTACATCTTTCAGGAAAACGGTGACTTCTTTATACAGTCTCTTTGATTTTTACTCCCTTCTGGAATTTCTGTCCACTGCTTGCTAATCAGCAAAAGATTCCTTTTCCCTCTCATGAATTGATTGCATATCTCTTCAAGCATCTTCATGTCAAATTTTAACGTGCATTAGCTTTTCCATCCATTAGTTCATGTATTTTAGAATCTTATAAATTTTCCCCACTTTGGCCAATTTCCTAACACACCTGTTTTTTTTATTTTTTATTTTGAGTTATATGTGTGTGTGTGTATATATAGCCAGCCTTCATTATAAATATTTTTTTTTATGAGAAGTCATGCTTTCATTGAGAAGAATGAAAGACTGCTGGTACATTATATCTACATCTAAATGTATAAAAAGAAAAAATCAATGCATCTATTTCCTCACTTGTGACATGCATACTCATTTGTGAATTGCTTGAAAAGGTGTCACTTTCTTCTCTAAATCGACATGCCGTTGCGACAAGAGCAGATGTAGGTGTCCCAAAAGCTCAGTGCCTGAAGGAGCACTTTCTGTCCATCTTGCCAGAGTGCCAAGTAGAAGCAAAAGTGGTATTATATGATGCAACGTCTGAAGAAGAAGTTCTTTCTGGGAAACCTGATTTCGTTTTGGACTGCATTGACAATATTGATACAAAGGTGCCTATTTATCTGCAAGGCCGCTCTAACTTATTCTAAATCTTTTTATCTTATCTTTTATTACCACTGGATTCAGTATTGATGCTAAATTGTTATATAGAGAGGATAAATAAAGATGGTAATATTTAGAGATTTAATTTACTTTGAGAAAATATAAATGAAGCATTAATCCATCAATTATTGAGGTTTATTTAGCCAAAACCCCGTTTGTCAAACACGTACATTTGAGGTTTATTTTCCAAAACTCTGTTTGTCAAACACTATACATTTGTGGGTGGGGTATTGTCGCATTGATAAGGCCTCCTGCTAAGTTTACCTTTACGTATGCGAGGAAAGAATAGTAGAGGGAATGAGTGTCTTAAAGAGAGGAACCAATTTTGTCAGCCTTTGTTAGCATAGCTTTCTCATTCCATTTTCCAAGTTAATTAACTATAAGTGGTAGTTAGAGAGGAGATTTATAAAGAGGGAACTTATGAGGAGGTTTGTATAAGAATAGTTATAGTGCATCCAACCTCTTTGGACTCGGAATAATCAAGATTCTCGAATCTCTCCTTGAGCTTATAATGAAATATTAGAAGTACCGTTCTGTCATGTGGATGGAAATGCATGTGTATACTCCATTTAACAAACTTTTTGACCAAATGAATAGTTTGTTTATTTGCCTTTTTGTCATTTTAAGCGATTGATGTTGTCAAAATTTACTTTAATTTATTCATGTTTGTATTTGAGTGGGGTTTTCTAATAGGAATTTATTTATAAATGCTTTGCTAATCACTTGCGATAGGTAGCACTTCTTGCTGCATGTGTACGTAGAGGTTTGAAAGTATTATCAGCAACAGGAGCCGGAGCTCGAGCTGATCCAACAAGAATTCGCGTGGCTGATTTAAGAGAGTCGACAAATGACCCATTATCTCGAGCTGTAATATTTCTTTCATATGGAAGAATTTTCTTTGAAGTTGAAACTTTTAATGGCCAGATTCCATCTTTAGAAGGCTGCATCAGAGAAGTTATTGGTTTCTGGAACGTGATTAAAATTGAACTCTTAATTTAGAGGATAGTTTGTCATTTATTTTGGCTTATATAAACAACTCCTTAATCACTTTTCTTATATTAATATTAGGAAATCAATTAGAAGGTTAAGAGAATGACTTGGTAAGTGAAAGACATGAAGAATAAGTTTCGTAACTGAAACACTTAAAGCATTTGAAAAGATCATATTCATGATAAGTAGATAACAACTCTCTTTTTGTTGCGTTGAGCTATTAGTATGACATTTTACTAAATGCCTGTTAATTATATAATAATGCATCAACATTTAAAACCTCCTGCTATTACAACTTTCCTCGTAAAAAGAAAAGAAACAAAAAAAAAAAAACTTTTTCCATTTCTTTATTTCTTTTTGAGAATTTAGGCTGTGGCTATTTTTTTACTGTAGATGAGGCACCGTTTGCGGAAAGGTTATGGCATTGAAGGGGGCATTCCTGTTGTATTTTCTTTAGAAAAACCCAAAGCAAAGCTGCTTCCATTCCAAGGACCAGGTGGAGAAGCTGAAAATCCTTCAGATTATCAGGTGAGGAGTTTCCCTGTAATACGAAATTATCTCTTTATATCTTTAGAGCAAGACCAGAATGCAGTGGGGCTACTTTATGTACTTGCTTCCAAGGTTAACAATTCTTGACTTGACACAGAATGGATACTTTAGAGTGTTTAATAATAGTTGGCAGGTCTTGCACGAAGAAAATATTACAGTGAATAAACATTCTGAATTTTTATCATGATATCAGATAGTTCCAGGGTTCAGAGTTCGTATCATACCTGTTCTGGGCACCATCCCTGCAATTTTTGGACAGGTAATGGCCTCGTACGTTGTGACGCAGCTAGCAGGGCTGCAAGTGGAAACAGAGCCTGTTGTTAATTTGGACACCGAACATTATAGGTTGCTTCATCAGCGACTCATTGAGCATGAAGAATCATTGTATGGAACCGCCATGCAAGTCCAGGTGTGGAGCTTTCATTTGAAGATTTAATTGATTTTGCATGAGTTATTTTGAAGTATCCATTGTCCTCTTTTTGTTTTCTTTTGGATTTGTCTGCATGATGCTAGTTACTAGGTTAACTTAAGCATTCACAATAAGTGGAATGACGTTGATGTTTTCCGCATTGGCATTTTATGAAGTCCACAAGTCTACTTCTTAGCCTTGAAGCCTAATGTTGGTTGATTTCGTGCATCTTGCTGGGTCTTAAAGGTGTATTTGGCAGTGCTTTTAGCAAAAGTATTTTAATTACAAGTCATTTAGTATAATTGCTTAGTAAAAAATCACTATGATATTTGATTCTACACTTCTTCTCGGTCGAGCATTTGGTGGACAAGCACTGTACAAATATCTACACACTACTTTTTGACTTCTTTAAAAAACACTTTTATGTGAATCCTAAATAGAGTCTATCATTAATTTAGACATCGATCGCTATGTTTTTGAGTATGTACCAGTTATTCACTTTTTGTATCTGAGTGAAAGCATCCGCTCATCAATAGCTAACATTTTTTTTTTCTCGAACTGCAAATCTATCATTCTATTGTTGTTGGATTCCAATAGTTAGCATTCTACTGATATATCGTTGTATTCTGACGCCATTTACTCTAGGTAGATGTTGAAGAAGTGATGTTTGTTGCAAAAGAGCTATGGCATGGAAGAAGCGCGAGAGATGAGTGTGCCAAAGATGTTGGACGGGGAATGTGGCGAGCTATTAATGAGTTAATGCTTGTGAGGTATGAATAGCTTTTCTGTTAGTGTTGCCTAATATGAAATGATATTCGTTATGGACTACGCTTTTTCCTGTTCTTTTGCAAACATACAATCATCCCATTTTTTAAAATTATATAATATTTTTGGGTTTCGTATATCTTATGGAGGAAGATAAACATATAGCTACTCGAATTCAATCAAACGGCAGTGATATTGTCCTTTTTTGTTTCCCTGATATGTGACATTGTGTTGCATGAAAATATGAGGTGCTGCACGGTCCGGTTTAAGGTTTCAGATTTTTTTTTTTTTAATAATAAGCGATATAACATAACAACAAATGAAAGATTACAATAAGTTACCTAGATTTGTTATGGAATATATTCACTTCTCTGGTACTGACTCTTTCTGTGCACAAATTAGGTGGGACCAAGCAAAACCAGCATCTGTAGCTAACTTAATTCTTTTGAAATTTAAAGAGGTAATTCAGCTTTACTCGTGAGATGAATTCCTGAAAATTATTCTGAAGAAAGTTTTACTATATTCTGCAACTTATTTGTCTTTTTGTCATCTCTTTTATAATTTCATTTGAAGTCATTTACTTTCTTGAAAAATAATATACTTCGTCTAGAAGCGAGCATGTATTCAATGGTTGCTTGCATTGTTTTTTTTCTTGAACTAAATATTATCTGTCTAGTGTTAGTAACTTCTTCTGTTTGCCTTCGTTTTGGAGGGAAGTTTATTTATTTTTGATATGTATGAAGTTGTTTACAAGCCGTTGATGTAGACCACTGAACTCAATTGTCTTCCAAACCAAAAGTAGAGACCCCTTTTTTTTAATAATAAAGAGAAACCACTATTTCATTGAGAGAAATGAAAAAACTATACAAGGACATAAAAAGAAATAGCCCATCCAAAGGACACCTCTAGAGGTAGGGCTCCAATCTAAAAAAGAAAGCTTAACTGATTATTGACCGGTCCCCACAGCGATATTTTAAATCGAATAAGCTCCTAAACAACCACACTTGATCTCTCCATCCTATAAAGATTCTATTATTTTTCTCAAGTCAAATTCTCCACAAGATAGCAAAAAAGCAAGCTTCCTACAGAAACATTCCTCCTTCCTCCATCCCAAAGGGGGGACAACAACCCCTCCTCCATCATTGCCCAACAATCCATGTTGCAAACTGAAGACACCCCAAACCACACAAAAAAAGGGTTCTAAATCTCTCGAGCAATCTGACAAGACCAAAGAATGTGGTGAAGATCATCTGAAGCACCTTTCCAAAGCACACACCACTGAGGCCCCAAAAGGAAAGAAGAGCACTTTTGGATTTGATCCAAGGTATTGACTTTTCCATGTAAACCTTGCCACCCCAATAATTTAATCTTTTTTGGAATTTAGACCTTTCAAAGCAAGACAAACAATGAGGTTGAAGTGGAAGAGAGAGAACTCAACGGATGGAAAACAAGAACAATAAAATCCCTTAGAAAGGTTAGGGTTAGACTCGAAAATCCTTTCTCCCCCATGAAAAGAAATCTTCGAAAGCATAAGAAGCAGGGTCGAAACATCCGAAGTCTCTCTATCTGTAAAGGGATGCCTGAGAACAAAGACATACGCACTCATCTCGAAATTGAGGCTACTGAATGCAACCTCTTATAAAAAAGGTGGTAAAGACCGGGGAATAAATAGCAAAGGGAATTGTCTCAAACTCAAATGTCCTCCCAGAAGTAGGTATTAGACCTGTCCTCATAGAGAATTTCAAAATCTGGGAAAAGAAGGGGAAACTAGACAAGATTTCTAGCACACATCCTAAGCCCTCCTTTGAGACCTAGTCAAAAGGATGCTGCTCATATTCGCTTACGATGATCTTATGCCACAATCATTTAGCCAGAAAAGCCTCATTCCTATGCCTCAAATTCCCGATTTAACTGTACACTTTTGCAGATAAAATCATCTGCTTTTCATGTTTACTGCTGCAAACGGTTAAAAGTAGCAATGGTCCTCTCATAAGCCAGTGTCATATTGACACTAGTTTTTTTATGTAAGAAAATTAGTGAGAATGTAAATACTGTTTGTGAATTACGGCAAGCTTTTTGCGATTGATGGAAAGTTGAGTTTGTAGATTAGATATATGTAAAGTAGAGTTTGTTCGTGTGGTTTATTTGATGCAGGCTGATGAACACGAGTCATCGACGCTAGACGACATAAAGGAAAAGGAACCTGAATTCTTCATGAGAGTAACTGCTATTTTGAAGCGAGCTGAGATGGAATTTGGCTTGTGAAAAGATAAACACTTCTGTTTTCTTAATAGAAACGAATTTGTAGCTTTTGTTTCCCATATTATCACATATTTTTAGTTTAACAAAATAGGAGGGTGGCTTAATTATTGAGTCATGCTTAGGTTGGCCTGATATTATCCACGGTGAACTAAAATTTTGGTGTAGCTATCAATAGTATATTTGAGATTCTGTAAATCTATTTTGCTGCCATTTGTTCATTTTTGGAGTCCATGGTATTTCTCATAGTTTCAGAACGTTGGACATTAGAATCCGAGAGACTAAGCCAAGCACAGCACTCAGCAGCCGTTTAATTTTGGATTTTTTGTTCTCCATTTGGGCAGTAATCTTGCTTCTTTAATAGAGAATAATCTTGATTTGGGTTGAAATTTTGGTTTTAAATATCGATATCTCAAATTAATTTTATTTATCGAAATATCGATGGAAATATTAACACTAATGAATATTTCTTGTAATATTAAAAAAAGTTTATAAAAAATATTTAAATTAACATGTTAGCATTTCTAAATTTTTAAATAAGTTAAAAATAATTAATATTAATATTTTATTAATATTTTACATATTTTGTATCAAATCTTTGGACATGTGGAAATTTCAACATGTCAATGAAAATTTAATAGCTTAGCACACAGAAAACCAGCCGTCCAGCCGGTAAAAATATTAATATAACAATTAATATAACAATAAATAACAGGTACAAATATTAAGTGGAGGTATCCATTCTATGACAATTCTCACCAACTTACCCTCTATTTTTGTGCCTTTAGTGGGCCTAGTATTTCCGGCAATTGCAATGGCTTCTTTATCTCTTCATGTTCAAAAAAACAGGATTTTTTAAATATGCTAGTGCAGTCTATGTTTTTTTAAAAACTTAGATTTTGACGATAACACAGCTATCTATTTTGTAGACTAGAGTCTAACATGTGGCTTACTCCAAACATAAGCGATTATACATGCGTAAACATGATATCTGAGGAAATGAATTATAAGTATTTCTAAAATAGAAAATATATAACAGATCGGGCGACGAATGTTTGAGATGTAAAGTCAGTGTGAAAAGTTTAACCAATTTAAAAAATATTTTTAAAATTTAGGAATGATTTTAGCAAAAGATATTAAATGATAATCGATTTTGTGAGAGTGATTTTTATATAATTATTTTAACAATTTTTTTTTCTTGAGTACAATATGTGAGGGTGGAGATCGAACTCACATCCTGAGATATATGCCAATTATCGCTATCGCTTTTGACTATTGCAGTTTATTTCACTAAAACAAAAATATAATATCATATAACTCTTTTGCCACATTGAACTTTTGTGTACTATAATAATATTCAATCAAAAAGTATAAGAATAATAATAATTATTATTATTAAAGAAACATAAGAATTAATATAAAGCCTAATATTTTGTTGTACTAAAAAATAATAATAAAGACTAATATTATAATTTAATTTATTTCGACTTGAGTTAATTTTAATTTAATAAATCGAGCCCTTAACTTGAAATTAAATTGCAAAATTTATTGCATCAATTCGAATGAATAACTGTCAAATGCTTAGATTTTTTAAGAGAAAAACAAACTTGAATGTTACCCCCTAATTAACAAACGTATATTATATAAAACTACAATCAAATACTCCAAAATGCAAAGAGAATGGAGTACAAATTGAAGTATCCATGAACCATATAACAGGATTACATATCCACTTACAGAAAAAAAAGGGGTTACCTAATCCTAGGGAACACCTGCTAAGGCATAAGAAGAACAACGTCTAATAACGTTCCTCCCTTATTGGCCCGACAACATCCTAGGTGTAGGAGAGATCGGAGCAATGGGTAACACTGCATTAATAAGAGCAACAGTTAATACCATTCCTCCCTTATCATTGTCCTAGGCGTAGGGGAGATCGGACAACTGGAAACGCTGCTGTTAACAAGCCATAGAAATCAGGGGCAGCTAGTCAATATTTATAGGAGTGTCTCTACTCTCCCCCCTGAACTTGTCGTGCAGTTGTACAGGAATGTCACCTCTGAGAATTTGAACTCTGAATTTGACCATGCTGCTGCTACATTCCATGAGCTCAAATACACAAGCATCTCCATATTTGAGATGATTTTCATCAACAAACTTCCTCCAGCCTCTGGTATCGAGCGTCCTACCGCGTCGGTTTCCATAGTAATCTACCCTCCATTCCTTGCCCCCACAGTAAACAACCCCATGGATCACAATAGCAGGTAAAACAGAATGAAATTTGGCTGGCAAGCTCTGCAAATTAAAATCTTGTCATTCTTCACTATTCAAACTCATATCTTTGTTTTCCTAAACAATGCATAATTTGAACATTTTGTTCTCAACTGTGTTTGTAATAGTTTCCAGACTAGCTAATCTTTCAAGTTTCTCTTCAAAGCTTGCTTTAAGAAACAATAATGATAACAAGAAGGAGACCAAAACTATGAACTAGCCAGATATTTTGCAGATTTAGCCATAAATCAGCAACTTGGATATCATCATCAATCACTCAGCACATTGATTGGGACACATAAACTAGGCCAACTAGCAATTCCAAAAAATGAGTTTGCTTACTTATCCAAGTAAGCATTAAATCTTTTCCTACTTCAGGCACTTCAGAGTCTTTGCTTTAACGGATATCCCACAACTCAACATGGAAGAATCATCTAACTTCTCCCTTCTTCATTGATATGGGTAAAAGGGAAACAGTCCGGATCACCTGCCAAGGCCCCTAAATGACGGCTCAGAGGCAGGGGGTGTCTCGAGACATTTTGGGGGGTTTATGCAATACAGTCACCCACAATTCAATTCAGTACATAACTCTTATTAGATTTCTGAGTAATTTCTAGACAACTTACCATAAGATATGCAGGAGCAACATGCGATTTTCCAAGAATAACACCATGGAACGGTTTGTTTGAGAGTGGAAAAATTTCATCGATTCGCGGCTCCATTTCTGCAGGCTCTGACGGAGGTTTCTCTTGTGACTGCATCTGGTGACCAAATCACTCACAAAAACCTGTGTAAAACCAAATGTACGTACTGAGAGAGGGGAAATTGATGGAAAAAAAGCTGGAGATGATGAAAGCTAACAGGATCAACGCAGTGAGAAATGAACTAATCGCATTAGCTGCGAATCACTTGGATTTTTGTTGTTCATTAGCTGTAGAAATTCGTTGTAGGAATCGAAAGAAACAAAATTAGTTGAGTAACCTGTGAGCTCTTGGATCGGAGCAAGCAGAGAGAGTGAGACCCTTGATCGTACCTTCTATACTTCTGTTCTTCAGACCAGGCCCCATTTTTTGTCTGAAAATTTATAATTAAATACTTTTTTTTTTCATTTCTTATTTATAATTCAATTTTTTTAAACAGTTTTTTTTTCAGTCCAACGAGAGTGGAGGCACCGAAATTTGGATTTCATGATGCTAATTTTAAAATTTATTTTTTTAAATAATACTATTTTCAAACTTATTATAGAAATAATATGTTAAAAATTAGTTATGCCAACCAGAATGAAGTTGTCTCAGCTGTGCTTGTTTTGACGTGGTCGAAATAAATTTTAAGAAAATTTATAAAATTTAAAATTAGCCTTATTATAAAAAGTAACAAAATTTTGGTAATATCTCTTTTGTGCTCATAAAAAAAAAAGATAAAAGGCTCCGTCTTTTTAAAATAATTTATTCCTTCGACTTTTAAAGTTGTTTCTAATATGTTTTTTTTTTTTTTACTTTACAAAGGATCTAATAAGTTATTTTTGTTAATCTTATAAATTTTTGCACTGTGCCTCGAAACACAATTTATATGTACAAAACTATTGAAGGTAAAGAAAAACAAAAGTATTTCCAAACAAATTCCTTCAATTAAAAAACAATAGCTAACATAGGGAAAGAAAAAAACTCTGGTGCGATTTTTTTCTATGGTACAACAAGTGTTGGCACTCTGCCACAAATTTTGACCTAATAGTTATTTGAAAAAAAAATAATATTATACCAAATTGAATAAGTGACTTGAATAACTCTAGTTAATCCTAACCAAATTTAGTTAGATTAGATTTATTATTTAATAAAAGTTGTTTTGACCGAATAAATTTATAAACCGAACAATTTAGTTGGATCTAAAAATTACTTAAGTAAATCCATGAACACTCTAATTCCTATCGTTTTCTCACATTTTATAAATCATTACCATATTATATAATGTTTTTTCTTTTTGCGACAGTTAGCCGATGTTTTTTATTTGACAAATTGGGTTAGTTTTTATTAGAGTTTAGAGTTTAATAAAGAACTAGGAAGTAATATAAATTTTTTGAGGAAGTAAAAGATAATTTAGGAACGATTTATGGAATTTAACATATGATTAAATTAGTAAACATGAACATAACTCAACTGTAATTAACATGTATTATTTTTTCAGGGTCTAATCTCTCATATCCTCACATTTTTGTACTTAAAAAAAACATGAGAATTAAATTCAGATCGGAAAAATAAAATTTTAAACTATATGAACGTAATTTAAAATTGAAAATCGGACCAATTGAAACTCATAGATCGGCAACAAAATTTCAAATTTAATATCTAATTTAACTTTAATTTTTGTCCATCTTTATTTTTGTTATAAATCGAAGGAAAAAGAGAGGGAAAGGACTAAGGAGGGATAAAACGAAAATGGGGCGAGGGAAGAAGAAGGTGGTAGGAAGCTCCGATTCTGAGGCATTGGCGCTTGCGCTTCCAGTTCTTGGCTTCACTGATTCTACTCATGGCAATGGCAATGGAGATTCAGCTCCCTCGAACTGTGACAATAATGGAAACGCTTCGGTTCAGAACAGTTCAGTGCAGACTCCACAAGTGACCCAAGTCGGAGAAGACACTTCTGAGCAACCAAAGCTCGACGAAGGCTTCTTCGAAATTGAATCTATTCGGCGTAAGAGAGTTCGAAAGGTATTTTTTCTTTCTTTCGCCACTGGAGTCACTTGTTTGTTCTCAATCCTGCGCGGGTTTTCGTTTTCTTACAACTAGACAGTGGATTTCTAAATTTGCCAGAGAAATCATAGATGTTTCAGAGAATTAGCCTAAATTCACAAATTCCTCTTATGTTTCAATGTCCCATTCAAATTGGGTGGTTTGTTTTCAAATTTAGTCTGGCATGGTACTCTTGGATTTGTTGGTCAGGCGATTGTGTTTCTGTATATCCTTTATCGATCTGATGTTAGATTTTGTATCCGTGGCTGCTGCTGTTGTATTTCTGGCGAATTTATAGGGGCAGCTTCAGTACCTCGTCAAATGGTATGTGCCATTTTCCTGTTTTCTTTTTCGTTTGTTATTCAGTTGTGTTACCGCTGTAACTTGTTCTTGATATACGTGAAAGTGGGTGGCTTAAGCAATTCCTTTTTTACAGGCATGGCTGGCCAGAGACTGCCAATACATGGGAACCCTCGGAGAATCTCCAGTCATGCTCTGAATTTATTGATGAATTTGAAGAAAGGTACTCGAACCTTTGCAGTTATTTTTCATATCTTCAAATGATTTCAGGAAATGTGGGAATAATGGAAATGTAATTCGAGCTTTTCCCAACAACTCAGAAGTTCACATCCTAATTATTTGTTCATCTTTTGTAGCTTGCAATCAGGAAAGCAGCGTAGGCGCAAGCGCAAGAATGGGGATAGCCAAAATCGACCTAAGAAGGAAAAACGGCGTGAAATCCTAGCTGTTGACAATGTCACAGATGTAGATATCAGTATGGTGGATGATCGCCTATCATCTGCTCCTCTAAACATAAAAATTCCTTTTGATCTTCCTACTCCTCAAGTACCTGTAGACTTTACTCATGAAGGAGAGTTTGGCAGCCATCTTAATGATACCAAAACTAATGGAACAGTTAATGTTAAAAATGGAACTATGGATGGGAAATCTGATGGAAGAAGAAAGAAAGATGAATACGATCTTCAACTTAGTGAGCTCAAGGCAGAAATTTCTGCCAATATGGTCAATTCTGATGAAAATGCTGAGGCTTCTAAAGATGTTAGCCTTGTTAATGATCTTTCCAAGGCTGATTGCATGGTGGGTTCCACTCAGGGAAGTCACTGCATTGGAGCCAAGAGAAGGAAGTCTAGTAGGGTGAAAAGGTTCACTAAGGATGCAGCCTTATCTGAAGACTCTGAACAGGGATTAGAGCAAAATGCAGTGACTGCAAGTATTGAGCCTACTGACCCAAACAAACAATTAGCGCTCGAGAATTCTAGTTTGTCAGGTCACTCCAGAAATGTGGCTGCTATCACAAGGATTATCAAGCCTATTGGTTATTCAGTTTCAGTATCAAATAACATCCAGGATGTACTTGTAACCTTCTTGGTTGTGAGGTTTGTTATACAAATCTAACTGCTCCCTTGTATTGTTGAGTGCTTAAAAGTCAATATTAGGTAGATCCTGTGTTCGATTTTAATTATTAGGTAAATCCTGTAGGTGAAAATAGAAAAATAATATTGTCCCTTTATTTGGCCAATACAACATTAGCCTATGTGGATAATATTTATATCCCTCTTTAAACTGGATGAAAGTATTGAAAGTTAAGAGTACTTGATTTCTATTAATGTTCTCAAGTTTCTCACCAATTACACAAAAATCTAGCCTCGTCATCTGTTAAAACTTGGTCATCTATATAATTCTTCAATCATCTTTCGCACTCCATTGGCATATCTATGCATTTTGTTGCATTACTATCTTTAAAACGGCCAAAGGATACAAGTTCTGGCCATCCCCTTTTTTTTTTTTGGATTGTTCTAAGCAGTGATTGTGGATCTCTTTCTTTTTGAATGTAGGTCTGATGGAAAGGAAGTGACAGTGAATAACAAATTTCTTAAGGATAACAATCCACTTCTGGTAATTGATCAAATTTTTGTACTCTAGCTTACATATTGATCTTAGTTGGTCTCTAACCTAGTATTTGCAACTACTCTTTTACTGCAGTTGATTAACTATTACGAGCAACATCTTCGATATGATCCAACATCATGAAAGAGCTACCAGTGTGTCTGACCACCATCATCTTTTTACGGTTTACTAGCTGTAATTTTGTAGTTTTAGGAGGAGATTCAGTGGGATACAATATGAATTCTTGGTACTTTTTCAAGAACTCTGTTAAGAGGAGATCAAACCATTTTCTTGCTTTGGGTACTTGTTACATGGGGATGAATGAAAAGTCATATTCTTTTGGATATTGAAGCTCCAGTCAATAATTTGAATACTTAGTCAATCGAATTACGAACTTTTATAACCTTCCTCCTCCCCTCCCCATCCCCATGGGTCTGTTTGAGACTAAATAATCTTTGTGAAGCTCCTGCAGAATTGTTCCCTGTTGCAATTCACTGTTCAAGTGATGTTTATCTGTTTTCCAGATACTGGGTGATCAAAATGGCTACAGGATGCTTTATTCATCAGGTGTACTTACTGAACTTTCTTGGTCTCCATTTATATTTTATGCCAACTAGAGAGAAAAGTAGAGAATTGAAGCTTTCAGACTTTCAACTGCTCCCACAAATGAAAATCTAAACCTCTGTCGTCTTGAATTTGGTGTATTATTAATCCATGGGTCATATATGATGTCATTCATATACATTTTCATTTAACAAATTGTCATTATCAAACTTCCTTTAATATTAATATAAATGTAGAAACAATTGGATGAACTTTTTCTGGTACCTGATTCTCCATCCTACTAAATGTAGACTAGACCGAGGCCCATTAAGATACATTGTCTCCTTTCTCTTGTTTTCAATTGATAAAGTGATTAGTTACTCATTCAGCTTGATACAGGTTGCTCTGGTTTGGCATCCAATCCCACCTATAAAAATCCATAAGACTTCATGAAATTGAAGTTTTCTAGAGACTTCCTCATTGATCAACTAATATTTTGACCTATAAAAGCATGGAAATGGTTCAGCTTTTGAAAAGTCATCTCCTACCACCACCAATAAGCCTTTCCTCAATATCTCTATGCTACAACCCAGGTTCTGATTCTGTGAGAGAGAGAATGGGAGAGGCAGGGCCATCTCCTCTTGTACCTTGTATCATAGTTGGATTTCTGGGGATGATAATTTTTGGGCCAACTTTTGTATCCATTTGGGAGAGTGTAGAGTCCCTACTTGAACTGGGTATTTGGGTTGCAGTGATTCTTGTTTTCCTTTTACTGCTTGTGCACTTGCTTTCTATTTTCTTTCCTGTGCTTCAGGTTTCATCCACTTTTGCAGTTCAGCATACCAGCAGCCCTGGGTATGATGCTGACGGATTCGGTTTCGGTTTCGGGTTAGGAACTCTGTTTCTGGTTCTTCTCTTCCTTGTGCTCTATAATCTATTGTAATATTGTCACCAGGAATAGCAAACTATAGCTTCTTCTTAGCACTTACACATGTCTGCATTTATATTGTGTATATTCAGTTTACCTTTCCATGTCTCTTTGACCAACAAGAGAACAGGCCCTGTCTATGGATGAAACATTTTATGGTTGTGCAGAATGGCCCATAATTTCTCAGATTAGTATAGTCTATAGTTATTAACGAATTTTATTTTCTCTTGCAATTTGTTTGGTTATTGATGAATTCCATTAAATAATAATAAACAAAAAAAAAAAGGTAAGAAATGAAATGTTATACTCAAAAACAGGAACTGATTGAAGACATTGATATATATGATTGTGAATCCAACATGTATTAGGTACAGACTTCATCACTTTCATCTCTTGAATTTCTTGAACTTGCCTCCATTGTTATTTGGAAAGAGAAATTATATTATTCCACCGCGGTAGTTGGAAAGAGAAAATAGAGAGAGAGAGAGAGAGAGAGAGAGAGAGAGAAATTTGAAATATAAAAGAGGAAAATGTAAGAGATCAAATAAATTAATAAAATTTGAAGTGTAATAAATTTGAAACGTAGAAAAGGAAAAAGTTTGGATTCATTAAATCAAACATATTAGTAAATAACCCATTGATATTTTACATGTGTCTTTAAACTAAAATTAAACAAAAAAAAAAAGAAAAAGAAAATGTCAATAGGTAAAAAAATAAAATTAGTTCAAAAAAATTCATTAAATCGTAATTTGGCTCATAAAAATATTACCTTGGATTAATAATAAATTTACTAAATTTGAACAAGTCTAAATCCGCCTACATAACCAAAATAAGTCCAAAATCATTCAAGTTTATCCTCAATACTTGTAGAAGATCACAAAATAAAACCGATGCCACAAACAAGTTACGATGATGAAGGTCAAGCTGAACACTCATTTCCACTCTACTTACCCACGAAATATTTAGCATGTGATCATACTCCTCCCCCTCCATCAACACCCTCAATATCCACCCTTAGTTTTTTCACACAGTGGTGAAGACGATGGGTTGCGAAAGAGAGTACAATATATCAACTAACTTGTAGATTGTCAACACTATGGTAACCTTAACAAGAAAACCAACAAGGACTACCTCATCCCAAATATTTCCCTGCACACCTGACAATATTATTTTGACACTAAATTGAGTACATAAGGTGTTTTGATATCGTACCAATCCTTGTTAAAAACGAACGATATACGATTACGATTGATTCATAACTAAATGCTAAACACGATCTGAATGGAAAATTACACGTGATTTATAATATTAATTAACGTTATACACAAATGGGGGACACGATCTTGGTGTCTTAAATATATGATTTCAATATCAAACAAATACTTGAAATAAATTGTCAAAGGGGCCATCTAATATGGATACAATTCTATACAGCTCAACTGCTCCTCTCGTTTCCAATATTTGATGAATCAGTGCACCCAAAAATGACCCCTACGATGCCAATCGCCATATATGATGTGTAATTCAAAGTAGGTTATTAACTCCCAATTTATCTCCCCTACATTTTTATTGATAATTAGAAGTTCAGAGTTTACGACTTACCGTTAAAAGTTTTCAGTCACGGTCGAGACATGGTAGGCTCTACTTATTCACCCCAATAATATGACTGAGATTTTGATTTGAATTTAGGAAGAAAGAAGAAAGATATTAATTTATGATTGAGAAGAATAACATTGCTACAACTCATGTGACTCGTAAGCTTCTCCTGTATAAATTATTTTTTAATGCATGAYTTATCTATAAACTAATTTGTTAAACATATAAAAATTATATGGACTAATTTAAGCCCGAGCTAAGAGACCAATTAAACTTTGGCCCATTCAGTTAAACTCATAGATTAGACTATGGGCCTAAGTCTTAGTGATTGGGTCAGCCCAAACAATGTTTGAAGTCCATATGACTTGAGCTTGAGCCGAGCTCGAGCTTTTTCTTATTTGGACAGATCGATCCAATGATGAGGGTGAGGTATGGGTAAGAACTAAAAGGAAAATAGTCATAGCAAAATTTTAGATCATGAATTCAAGAAACATTTTCAAATACAAGAGGATTTCAACCTTTTAACTTTGAGATAAGTTCCTTTAACTTCGAGATAAGTTCCTTTAACTTCGAGATAAGTTATATATCTTTACCGTAGATATATTTGCTTCAGCCACCGAAGGCAAACATTATCTTATCCCAAAATTCCTCCACAGTACTTACACAAAATCAAAAGTTTAAAAATCTATGAAAAATTACATTTTTGTTTATTAGTTCGTTCCTATCATAGGATAATATTTTCACGCAACTTTGAAATTTGTTATCATATATATTTTACATTATAAATCAAAGTATGCCCCAAAAAAATTAAATAAGTTAACCATGGCAGACAACTAAATATATTCATTTAATGAAGTAATTAACAAAAATAACTAAATAAAAGCAATAATCCAAAATTTTAAAACATAATCAATTCTTTTTCTTTTTTAAAATTTACAGACCAAACCAACACAATCATCAATAATACATTCCTAAATTAATAATATTTTTTTAGTACAAACCTAAATTAATAATTCAAACAATACCATTCCAAAGGAAGAAAATAACTTACACTGTAAATTGAATACTCCTATGAAGCCTAACAATTTTTTAGATTCCTTTTGTAGAAGAGATGGAAAAGAAAATTCTAATTTCTTGATGAGAGACGAGTTTATTGGAATGAAATTCGTTCTTGTTTTTTTCTCAGGAAGAACAAATCAGCGATGATTAACAAAACAATAGATACAGCACTAACCAGAGACAGAGATTCAGAGGCCGGAGGTGAAGGGGACGCCGGTGTTCGGCAACCACGAGCCGCCGGCAATGAAATTCCCGACGGTGAATTTAGAAGCCTCCGCCGCGCTGGTAATCACATGGTAACCCTTCCATTTCACTCGATTAGCCGTCGAAGATCCCGGTCCGGTATTCGAATACTCGCCGTAATAGAGCGTATTTAGGGCAAAATTACCGCTCCACTCCATCCATCCGGCCGGATTTATGAATCCTCCGATGTTCGATTTCATGAAAACGGTGCGCGAGTACTGGCGCCACGGCCGCCCTAGGTAGGCCTTGACGCCGCTGAGGCCGCCGGCGGAGGTGACTCTGCAATTGTGGATCGAGATTCCGGTGTTCTGATTCGGATCGCTCCGGCCTTGGGCGGTGAGAGTAATGGTCTTGTTAGGAGGATCGCGAGCGATTATGTTGGAATCTTGGATCACGACGGCGGCGTTTCCGAAGATGAAATCGACGGTGCCGTAAATGTCGCATTGCTTGTAAAATTGGCGCTCCGCGTAGACGTAGAGAGTGTCCTGAAAGCCTTCGAATCCGCAGCGGTAGAAGACGGAGAGATCGGAGCCGGACCGGAGCGCCACCGCCTGGTGGTTCTTCGCTCCGGCGGTGTTTCTGAAGGTAATGTCACGGGCGATGAATCCGTCTCCATCGACAGCTAAAATCAACCGACATCCAATTAACACCAATAATACTCATAAATCGCAATCAATTTTCCCTTTTTTCTTTTTCTTTTTTTTTCCATTACTAAATTCAAAATATTTTATTTAAATAGGCAATTACTTAAAAAAAAAAAGTATAAAAAGGCAGTTATATCTTTAAATATAACGGAGGATTTAAAATTTACAAAAATAACATAATTCAACAAATTTAATGATAAAGTGTCAATCAAATATAGTGGGATTGAATCTTGTACTAAAAAAAATTTAATGATAAAGTTAAATATATTAAGAAGAGTCAAATTTATGCTATATATTTGTATGAAAAGAAAAGTGATATATTTTAAAATATATAGTAAAAAATCTCTTTTTTTGTTTTTAAATTGTTGAAGTTGTAAATATATTATTTTAGTCCCTCAATTTTACATGAAATTACTAATTTGAAAAGTATAACACAGAAAGTTTTAAAGTAATATATATATATATATAACAAAAAACAATGCCATTATTCAATATATCTTTAAAAGCCAGTTTCCACACATCACACTCATATACATAAAATTTCATAGAAACCAATTGAATATTATTGAATTAATTTAATTATGGTCACTTTTTGCCTTAGAGGCTAAACTCAACTAATTGATAGATTCTATTGCTACACTATTAAATTATTTTTTTTAATTTATAGTAACAAAAAGTAGACACTTTGGTCCCATTAATTACACACCAACCAACCAAGCTTCTTTATCTTTGTCATATCATAAACTATCAAGCAAAATGCCACATCAACAAATATTTCTATAAATATTTTGTTTGTATCCATTTTAAATTTCTATAAAATCCCAAACCATATATTAGGAAATCCATTATGACTTAATTTATATTTCAACAAATTTTTTAACTTCACCGGTATAATTAATGATTTACTGTATTAATTAATCTATTAATGGAGTAAAAAGAACCCCATATTTATCATCAATCATTAACTAGGGTTGAAATTAATAAATTAAAGTATTGGGAGAAGATATAGAGATGAAATTCAAACACGAAATTTTAAGTGAAAAATAATAATGACTTGATTAATTAGTCTTGAAAACGTAGAATTATAGGCTTTGGTAAAGAATAATTCAACTCTATTATCAGGTAAATTTAGTCAGAATAATTTACCAATTTACTCAAAGTATTTACTGTTGAATTTTTATTGGTCATGAATTAACGTTAAATCGAAATAAATAATCCATAAACTCAGTTTGAATTCCTCCATAGACTAATGGATAAAGTCAACTTATGTGACCTCATCAAGGGCATTAGGTACATTTAACCTCTTTTTTTACAAAAAAAATTAAATTATCTAAAATATATTCTTATCAATTAAAATTTGATAGTAAATACAAAATCTAATAGGTACGTGTTTTTCTTTCCACTAAATTAGCTAAAATCGACACGTTATGACACGAGCTGATGACAACCATGCAGCACATGTAAGTTTATCATAATTTTAACTTGCATCATATGTTACGATATGAATAAATGTATAAAGCTCTCGGACGTCGCTACATATGTCACTTTCAACAACGTTATTATTTTTCATTGATACCAATCTCTTATAAGACACTTAAAATTTACATTTTAACACCTAGAAAAGTTATTCTTGTGCTGTCATATAGATATTAATACCTATTTATTAAATTAGTTTTTTTAAAAAATCTTAGTTATATTGAAAATAATTATATAATTTTAAGTAGTAATAAAAAGTGAAATAAAAAATAAATAAAAAGCAGAGAGAGAGAGAATTACCAACGGTGGCTGATCTAAAAGTGGTGGAGCCGCCGCCGACACTTCTGCTTCCGGTGATGACAGTTTTTCCGATTCCGTCGCCGACCAACATAACATTCTTCGCCTTGATCTCCACATTCTCACTATAAACCCCCGCCTTCACATATATCACAAATCTCCCGCCACCCTTCGCCGCCGCCACCGCCGCCGCCACCGTCTGAAAGTCCCCGGACCCATCCTTCGCCACCACCACGTCAGCATTCCCCGCCGGCGAGCCGGACTGCAGCAGCTTCCGGTCCCCGGGGCTGACCCAGACCGGGAACCCATCGACCCGGCTCGGCGGGCCGAACCCGTCCGGCGACGGCGGTCCATTTACCGACAACCCGTCGCTGATCAACTTGGAGACGTTATTCGCCGTCAAGGGATAGCCGGAGGCGGAAACCCCGAGCTCGTCGAAGCCGGTGCGGCAGGTCTCGAGGGCGGTGAGGGCGGCGCTGAGCCAGGTCTGGGCGTCGGACCGGGAGCAGCGGTCGGCAGTCCGGTTGAGCCGTGAGATTATTTGGTCGTAGAGGTAAACGCAGTCGGCCCAAGCGGATTTCTCGCGGGAGTTGCGGCACTTTGGCCCGAGGGAAATGGCGTCTTTGTGGGCCGAAACGGCAGTGGAGAGCGCCGTTTCGACGAGGATTTTGAGGAAATGGGATTTATCGGTGATCGGAGAATTGTTTGAAGTGGCGGCTTTGGTTCGGAGAAAGTGCTCGCATGGCGCCGGATACGGCGTTTGGCTGCACCATGATTTTATTTCTTTCTCTGAGTAACCAAAAATGGCGCTTGGAAAAACAAGAACAACAACAAGAGCAACAACTGAAAGGCTTTGTCGAATTTTAATTGTTGCCATTTTTCTTTTTCTTTTTTTTTTTTGGGTTCTTGAGGAGATGTGGGATTTTTGTGGAGCTTGAGTTCTCATTTTATAGGGAAGAAAGATGGGGGAGAGATGAGATACTTACGAGTTACGAGAGTTCGAGCTCAATTTTGTTTCGGACTGTCTTTTTAGGTTGATATTTTGAGTGATGCAAAAGAAAATTGCAAAGAATAATTTTTTTCTTAGAAAATAATGAATCATAAAAAATTGATGGGCGATTACCGGTTAGTATCGGGGAGAATAGATGCTTTCACTAGTTATCACTTAATATTTTTCGTGATCCATTCAAATTTAATATATCTTTAGTTTTTTTAAATTAGAAAAAATATATATATTTTTTCTGTATTTGCAATCAAGGATGAATGCTATATGTAAGTACTTAATTTCCCTTTTTTCCTTGTTTCTCTTTTTGTTTAAATTCTATTTTTGTTTGTGTGAACTTTTGAGTTTGTCTTATTTATAAAATATTTAGAAGGTTTAAAGATTAAAATAAAATGTATCTTTATCCTTAAAAAAAAAATATATATATATATATAATATACCTTATCACTTTAAAATTTTGAAGGYCGAAATGACACCAAATTAAAAATTGAAGAGAATCAGAATATCGTTTAAATTTTATTTCATGATTTTACTATCACTTTCGTATATTGTTAAAACAATTCGTTAGAAACATTAAATTTCTATTTTTAAAAATTTGAATATCAATTATCATGTCTTCCGCATCATAAATCAGTCTTACAATATTCTTCCATATTATTACCGGTAAATATATATATAATTTTTTTTCCTTTTCTTCTTTTGACTTCTTACTAAAATGATGTATTTTAATTTTAGTCTATAGATTGCCATAAGTTTTGTACTCATCCATGAATTTTAAACAAAAATACATTTAAATTCAACCGTTAGTGTACTAAAAAAAAATCAACGGTATGATATGGCATCAAAACATTAAAATATTTATTTATTAAATCTACTGCAAATTTACAAATATTTATCTACTTATCAGATAAATTAACAAAATAGTAAATCTATGTGAAGTATATTAAATATCGACCAAAAAGAAATATTATATTGAACAAAATAGTTTTCTTCCTTATAATTAAGGACCAAACACAAATTTTAAAATTTATTGTGTTCATAAATTTTGGGCCAAAAATAAATTATAAAGTTATTGGCTGCGGACGCTGGTTTTATAATTTCAATTTGCATATCGATTTGACATTCTGACGGGATTTCAAGCAGTGATTGTAGCCTGTGGTTTGAGACTTTAAATATTGGTTTCAATTTGTAGTTTCTTTTATATTTATAAATTATTTCTTAAATAATAAAACTTAAATTATGAATAATGAATATTATTAATATTTGTATTTAAGAAAAATAAGTACCATTTAAGTAGCAGTCCAATGTGGGTCAGCTAAATTATTATCCGTCGTATCGACAAGTGGGGTAAGTTTTCTATTTTTATGAATAAAAATATCATAATAGACTAAAATTTGTCTAATTGGATAAGACACATATCAAAGATAAAATAAAATAAAAGTTAATTTTCTTCAAACTAAACTGACTATTTATTGGTTTTATACTTAATAAAATATTGAGTAACCTAAAACTATGGTCCAATTTGATCCAAATGACTGAATTTAGTATGTTTGGCTTGTTTTTCTTATTTTTGGTTGTTTCATAATTGATAATAGTTGCAACCCAATTAATAAAGTTTGTTTAAGAAAAACTCAATTAATAAAATATATATTAATTATCGGAATCATCATTTTTAATAATGAAGGTTAGCCAAAGCGAACCTAGTTCACTATTGACATAATTCTCCAACTCTCACATATTGTACTAAAAAAATAATGAACGTTAACATCTAATAGGATAATTATAAGAGTTTAAGAATCCTTATCAAATTTATTAAATTAAATAAAAAAAGGTTTAGACTTTTATATATATATATATATAACACAACATTCATGCCGGAGCAGGAATTTAAAACTCACGACCGTTTGATCGGAATAAATGTCATAACCAGTTGAATTAAATTCAGATTGGTAAATAATGGTTTAGACTTCTAGAGATCAATAAAATTGATTTTTTTTTCAAGATTAGGAACAAAATTTCGACAATTATATAAACATTAATTATTTTTATTTAATATTAAATGTTGTTATTTGAATTAAAATGATTATTTTTATTTTTATTTTTATTGCAAAATGGAATGGTGCTTTGCATTAAAAGGAAAATGTTGAGGCTTTTGTATAGTAATTGAATTAATATTATATCAATCAAAGGCATAGTTCAACGGATTAAGATACAGTTCAACGGATTAAGATACATATATCTAATTATATATCGTGAATTTAAATCCTCACCTTGCTGAAAAAAAAGAAAGAAAATTCAACTAATATTATTCTTAAAAATGTGTTGCATGCATGGAAGCTGCTGTCCTTCCTTATGACGCGTTATTGGATTTATAGAGGTCAAGGGCAAAGACTTTTTTTAGCCAGATAATAAATATAATTATCAATTATTATCCTATATACAAATAGTTTTATAATAATAACACATGAAAATGACATTTTAATTTGCTGAGAGGAATATTCAACTGTGGGAGAGAGAGAATGTGCTCTTTAGTTTAGTAGATTAAAGGGATTCCTTTTTTTAGGTGGGGTAGGTTTTATATATAGAAAGGTATAACCGAGTTGGTTGTTTTAGTACAACAAATTGGAGATATGGGGTTTGGACCTCCCGAGAAAATGAGTATGTGTCAATTATTACTGAACTGTTCAAGTAGACATTAAAGAAGAGGTTCATTGGTATATAATAGGAGTGCATAATTGAAATCGAAAAATATACATTATTCGATTGAGTTTTATCAACTTAATTTTGAGGTTGTATTAATTTTATGTTCAATTAGATAGAATTGATTAATATTGAAAATGAAGTCGATTCGAGTATAGTTTAGTGAATGAAATATTTATAACCATTATTATTATTTTTTACAAAAAGAGATATTTATAACCATTAATTCAAACAACAGTGAAATTTCAAATGAAACCCCCGACAATACGGCTTAATTAGTTAAGACATTATTTACGTTAATCAAAGTTTTGAATTCCTGATAATAAATACAACCTCAATTATTTAAGTTGAATGTCTTGGTTGGACGTCTAGTTTCATTTTCAATATTAAATTTCTCATTTGAAGTGAAATTAACACATCTTTAAAATTAAATCGATCTGATTCATTTTTTTTAACGTATATATCGATTCTTCTAATTATTTGATTTTTTTCCAAGCTTGATTTTTGGGTAGACGCCAACATAAACATAGTTTATTAGTAATTAATATCTACTTCTTTCTTTTAAGGTTGGAGGTTCAAACCTTCACATCTCCACTTTATTGTACTAACACGAGTGGGACGGGAACTAGGTATTATCATAATTGAGATTTCTAATTTTCTTTTTTCCATGGTATGTTTTTAATTTATTAGTTGACTATTCAACTTTGGGACAAAAGTGCAATTTGGGTAATTATATATTGGGCAAATGAATCTTTTTCATCTCTCTCATAATGGATGGAGAGATCATGATGGCAACATGGTTGCCATTTCCACACCAATTTGCTACCTTTCAAGGGAATAATATTCCAAATGAGAGAGAGATTTATTTTGATTTTTCTAAACTAAACTATTAATTTAGGGTTTAGCTACCTAAATTGTTCCTTTTTTTTTAATCAAGATAATTTATACATTTCTTTTATACATTTTTATGCCTATATCAAAAATATTATCTGCGAGCGAGAGTGTTTAAGCAAATGGTCTATAAGAACCAACGGAACATACATGAGACATCATCTAACATAATGATATTATTATACCCAAACTATGATCGACAAAAAATAATAAAAATAAAAATTTCATCAATATTTTTATCCACTAAAAATAGGAAATAAGAAATTGACTAATGTGGAATCCACATGAGCGACAAAAGAGCTAGCTTTCAATTTTTAAAAATTTATTAATTGTCGTTATGTGTTTGATATGATATTATGGAAATGATCACTATATTTATTATCATACATGATTTGATATATTTTTTTGAGTTAGGTTTGATAAATTTTTTTCTTCTTTCTTAAAAGTCAAAGAAATTATAACCTTGACTTGCTAACTATGCCAAATTGAAACATGATGCAAGGGTATTGAATTTTATGCATTTTATTTTGAAAATATTGGTGTAAATTAAGAAAATTAAGATTGAATATTCAACACCAAAGCAAAAACAAAGTGAAAGAGATTTTCTCTGTGTATTTTTTTCCTTCCATGCAATGGAATTTCTCTCTGACAACTAACATATTTGAAATTGAAATAATTAAATGTCCTCCAAAAGAATAACCAATGTCTCATTGAATTATATGGTTGACTAATTAATTACATATAAATAATTTTATCTATAAAATGGACTACCAAACACGCAAAAGAAAAAATTGGCATTAAGAATAAGGTTAATTAATACCCATCTTAAAATAAATAATTTTAGATTAAAAAATGAAACATATCTAAAAATAGTACGTGGGGTAGAGATTTGAACCCACGATCTCATAATATATACTTAAAAAGTTAAATTATGTTTCGGACGGATAAAATAAGTATTATATTTTTTGAAAAATCAAGAATCATGAGAAAAAAGCGAAGGTCCCAACAAAAAATACGTACAAATTTATGAGATATTCTAAAAAATGAGAAAAAATAAATTAACTATTATTAACAAACGGTTAAAATTTTGAAGTACAAGTCTTAAAAAAATGCCAAAAAAAAAATCAGACATCAAAATATGATTAGATTATGGATGTGACTTTAGTCATAGAGGGACACATTTATATAAGAAAAATGAAATTAAATAACTATAACATTAAATTTTGTTTACACATAAATAAACATACTCAAACACACCACATGATAATATTAATTAATGGACTTGACAATTGGAAATTAGGATAAACTAATACATATTATCTTAAAGGGTAGTTAGGCCATTATTCAATTTATTTGATTTTAGGGAGACATAATTAA